GGATAGCAAATGGCGCTCTACACGGACTGATTTGGGACTGTTGCAGGGCAAAATAAATGGCCCCTCCCGCCGTCCTTCGGTGCCCGTTCGTCTCGTCATTTTATCCTGGATGAAGCATGCACCCTCAACCCTCGCCTCGGGCGGCTCGAGAAGGGACTGTCCATCTGTCCGTCCCGTACCTATAGAAAATAGAAACGTATGCCAGGGCAGGTGAGATAACTGACATAGCTTTTTCGTCAGGGAAGCTATTCTTGCTGTGGTTTGTCTCATTTAGCCATGCCACCTCTCACACTGCCAATTCGTAGTTCCCCAACGGTCCAACAACAAAACCTTATTCGTCACGTTATATACGACATATCATCCGATTCTGGCCGGAGCAAACCCCGTGGTTTCACTCCATCTATTGTCTTAAGGTAGTAAATAAGCGGCTGGAACTCTGATCGCTCGCTTCGCCTCGCTTGCGCGTAAACTTACAAGCATCACCCCTGAAGGAACGCGGGACGTACGAGAACAACAAAGTGCTGGCCATCCGTAGCTCCAACGACAGTTGCCGTGTTAATTTCAACGTCGGCGACCACTCGACCAACGGTCTAGATCTTTCCCTTCTTCAAATCTTCGCCTCCATGCGTGATCGCCGCATTGTGACTCGAAACATAGTAACATCAACGATGCGCCTGGTAGCATGCCAGAAATGCTTCTCCCAGATCACATCCCTTGGTCCGTCGGCGGTCAGCTTTCGAGAGGCCATCAATTGGTTTGACTCTCTGGTGAGGTGCATCAAGAGTAAAGAGCAAATGCAACCCTGATTTCATTAGTATCTCTTTTTCTTTGACGGAACCACGGCCATGGAGGCGCAAAGGAAAGTTGGCACACGCATTCACGGCCTCGTCAACGGCATGCAGAATAAAATGAGTGCGGTAAAAGAAAACAGACATGGTTTCTACGGTGAGGGTGTTTGGGGACAGTTTACAGCGGGTCGGCAATCGTATTTCTGAGAATGCGATGCTGCATTTTGGCTGAAGTCGGCGCGAATCTCGTATTAGCCTCATTGCTTTCGACATGGACTCCGTCCATATCGCACAAATCCGAGCTCCAGTGTTTCATTCACGTACTTTGTTCATATGCCTACACCGTCATGTCGGTAGCCAAAGTTTATTTCTTCTCATGGGTACCTGTGTGGTTGAAAGTCCGATGTGTATGTATCTTCACATTTCGTTGAAATATATTAATCCCCAGTTTCTATTCTGATTTTCGTATGTTTTAGTAGTCGAATTTCGCTTATTGATATGATATATTAAAAACCATTTTTACACATAAAAAATCGAGCTGAAAAGGGTCTGTGTATAAAGTATGATTTTCTCTTCGAAAAAGGCAAGGATCTATAGAGGCCAATTTAATAAAAATACAGTCAAATGGAACAGATCAAAATGGATTGTCATGAAATCGAAAGTCCTACAAAGTGGAAACTAATAGTTTACCACAGCAAAATCAAAGAGATGGACGACAGGGCTCAAAGTTGCTATGCTTTATTGCAAAAATTGACAAGGGAGCCTTGAGGAAGCTCGACTACACATCGGCTGGAAAGAAGGAGTAAAAGATCGTTGAAAAAATGATTCATTTTGTGACAACTTGACCTGGGACTCAACCACTCCGAACTTCAGTCTTCAGAGTGACCGACCCCCAAGTGTCGCTGTGTGCTATCTAGAGAGAAATAAAACGGCCCATACTCGAACCGACTGTAGATCTTCCGTACTCAATTTTTAGGATTGAGATGTCATCACCCTTCGTGTGTGCCTTTATGTAAATTCCCTTTGCGCAAAACAAATTAGACGAAAAAATCAAACCGGCGGTGTGAAAAACCACGACAAAAAATACAAGGCTCCTTCCCTATGCTGTTGAAAACATTTTTGTTGAAGAAAAAGAAAAGTAGGGGGAGGGCAGGTGCGGACTGTAGGGGGGAAAGGGCGACGGAGAAGAAAGTAGAGAGAGAGGTGATGATAAAGGGTCGGAAGAAAAGGACGGCCGCACTGCCGCTTGAAACAATCGCAATGCTTTTGAAAGAACAACTCCCCCCGTGTTTTCCCCGGTTGAAATGGGTATATGGTTAAATTTTCTTTTCATAAACAACTTTGAAACGACAATAAACATCAAAAGCACATCAATGGGAGGTGCGCGGCAATCATATCGTTAAGTATAGAGAGCGGCGACGCAGCCCAGAGACGATGCTGGCGGGTTTGAGAAGAGGGATGATAGGGGCGAGAGAGATTAGTAGCGGTAGCTGAGAAGAAGTTAGTAACATTCGCACAAGACTGAGACGAAATAGAACAATGGGGGAACATACTGGTCAGGCTTGAAGGGGCCCTCGACAGGCAGAGACAGGTACTCGGCCTGGACATCGGTGAGCTTGCTCAGCTCGACGTTGCAGTGGTCGAGGTGCAGCTTGGCAACCTCCTCGTCGAGGATCTTGGGCAGGACGTAGACCTGCTTCTCAAAGGTGCCGGTCTTGGCGAACTCGACGTACTTGCTGCGGAACGCCTCGTCCTTGTTCTTGTAGAGAGCGATCTGGGCCAGGACCTGGTTGGTGAAGGAGCAGGACATGACGAACGAAGAGTGGCCCGTGGCGCAGCCCAGGTTGACCAGGCGGCCCTCCGCCAGCAAAATCAGCTTGCGGCCGCTCTTCATGGTGTAGCGGTCGACCTGGGGCTTGATGTTGACGTGCTCCACAGCGTTGGCCTTGAGCCAGGCAACGTCAATCTCGACGTCAAAGTGGCCAATGTTGCTGACAATGGCGTCGTTGGGCATGGCCTCGAAGTGGCGGCCGACCAGGATGTCGCGGCAGCCGGTGGTCGTGACGAAGATCTGGCCGACCGAGGCGGCCTTGTCCATGGTGGTGACCTGGAAGCCGGCCATGGCGGCCTGCAGGGCGTTGATGGGGTCAATCTCGGTCACCAGGACGCGGGCGCCCATGCCAGCGAGGGCCATGGCGCAGCCCTTGCCGACGTCGCCGTAGCCGGCAACCACGGCGATCTTGCCGGCAATCATGACGTCGGTGGCGCGCTTGATGCCGTCGACGAGGGACTCGCGGCAGCCGTACAGGTTGTCGAACTTGGACTTGGTGACGGAGTCGTTGACGTTGATGGCAGGCACCAGCAGCTCGCCGTTCTTCAGCATCTTGTACAGGTGGTGGACGCCAGTGGTGGTCTCCTCGGACAGGCCGTAGCAGTCCTTGAGCATCTCGGGGTACTTGGCGTGGACGAGCTGGGTCAGGTCACCGCCGTCGTCGAGAATCAGGTTCAGGCGCTTGTTGTCCTTGAAGGCAACCAGCTGCTGCTCCAGGCACCACTGGTACTCCTCCTCGGTCTCGCCCTTCCAGGCGAAGACGGGGACACCGGTGGCGGCAATGGCAGCGGCGGCGTGGTCCTGGGTGGAGAAGATGTTGCACGAGGTCCAGGTGACCTCGGCACCGAGAGCGGTCAGGGTCTCGATGAGGACGGCGGTCTGGATGGTCATGTGCAGGCAGCCGGCAATGCGGGCGCCCTTGAGCGGCTGGTCGGTGGCGTACTTGGCACGGGTGGCCATGAGACCCGGCATCTCATTCTCAGCGAGGTCGATCTCGCGGCGACCGAAGGCGGCCAGCGAGATGTCGGCGACCTTGAAGTTTCCGGCGGGGGCAGCCATTTTGAAAGTAGAGAAGTGGTCTGGGAAGAGGGCAGCGCGTTAGTCGATTGATCGTAGATGACAGAAATTGGCTGGCAAACAAGTGAACCGGCGCTGAAGCTCTTCGTTTTTTTCAAGCAGCTCTGGTCAGATGGCCATCCGAGGCCAAAGTGAGCTCCAACAGCGGTACGATGCTTATCAGAGAGGGGCACGGCAATGGGAGTTGCACCGCCATTGAGACGTACCTTGAGGAGAAAGACGGGCTGTTGGGATGGATGAAGCGTTTGGTAAGGATGCAAAGTGAGATAGGAGAGTGAAAAGTGAGAAGTGTAGAAGAGGGGAGGAAAGGAGAAGGAGAGAAGCAGGAAGGACAGGAGTTGCAGGAGGATAGAAGGGGTGTTGAAGTGGGAAGGGGCGGGCAGAGATAGTGGACAATCACTTTTTTTTCCGTCGCAACGTGGCGGGGCAGTGGTTGGCTGGTGAGGGGTTAGCAGCAAGCAGAAAATTTCAGGAACGGCGCTAGTCCTGATACGGACGGTGCTCAGTGGGAAACGGAGGGCCATTGGTCCCCTGTAGCGTGTCGGCACCATCTGCCGTTACTGACCGCAGCTTCGGCTCTGCCACTGGGGCCTGGCCAGTGAAGGACCCGAAGCATCTCCGAGCACGTGTTATCAGTTTACATATGTTTTCAAGCGGCCGCCGAGCTCATACGTGTGGCCACGTTCACGACTGGGATCTCTTAGCCTAGGTCATCTTTTGTATTTTCGTTTTTATCTGACAGTTCGTAGTCCCCCAAATTAACGCCAGGCCAGATGCAATATAACTCGCCCCTGGTTTGCCAGCTTCCGCAGTGCATCGTGGCACAAAAGTATAAGACGCCCTTGTCTGTGGTTGCTCACCGTACGTTCACAGTATGACGAACGTAGGGAGAAGCGAGGACCACAGAGTCAGTGTCGCCTTGACGCCGCTGTGTAACAAATCCGCCCAACGAAAGATCCACGGCCAAAAGGACAAGTCTCGTTAGGCCAAATCATACCCGTCTAGAAACTTTTGGTGCCGCCATAAACGCAGAAAGAGAAAAGATACCAAGAGGGGAAGAGAAAACATGGAAAACCGAAATACGATGACAAGGGTGCGACCTCAGCCGTGTCATGAGGCTGGGGTGTGGTGCCACGGCATTGCCCTTATCCGCCCATGGTGGAAATATCCGGCCCTGGTGAAGTGACCGGACGTGGCGATGGGAACATGATGAAACTGTAAAAAAGACAACGCACGCAATAGAAAACAAGACAAAAAAAAAAACACAATAAACATGAGCAAATCAAAGTCCACCAACTACCCGTTTACTCGGGCAGCAGGTTCCCCCGGACGGCAAACATCTTGGCGCTGACGCTGGACGTGAAGCCGTCGACCTGCCGGCTGTACAGGTCGACCTGGCGGGCGTTGAGCATGCTCTCGAGGCGGCTGGGCTCCTGGGGCAGCTTGAACAGCCGCTGCCACTCGTCCTCGGGGAGCGGGGCCTGCTTGGCGGCGGTGCGGGCGGCGTTCTCGGCCTTGCGCTTGGTCTGCCACGCGGCAATCTTCTGCTGCTCGCGCGTCAGCTGGCGCTGGTAGTACTGGTGGTTGTTGAGGTCGGTGTAGTGCGCCTCGACGCTGTCGAGCAGCAGGTCGCACGTCTTCTCCAGGAACGGGTCGATGGACAGGTCGAGGGCGTCGAGCGACGGGTAGGCGGGGAAGGCCAGGGGCGCGCCGTGGATGTCGGACAGCGACGCGGGCAGGTCGACCTCGGCGGTGGCCGGCGGCGCGGGCAGCTGGTGCATGAAGGTGGTCAGGAGGTGCGAGTTGTGGACGGCGACGGGCAGCTCGACCAAGATGTCCTTGAAGGACAGCTTGGACTTTTGCAGCGTCTCGGTTGTGAACTTGCCCTCCTTGTACGCGGCGACAAACGCGCTGGACAGGCGGAACGCACGCAGGTTCAGGGCGCCCTGCGAGCTGCGGCTGACGTCGTAGACAAGGGCGACGGTGGCCGCGCCGGCCTGGGCGTCGCGCTGGTAGTGGTACAGGTTCTCGATGAAGCTCATGTTGATAAAGTTGCCCATTGTCGCGCTCGTGTAGAAGCCGACGCTGTTGGCGTCGACGTTGACCTCCTTGAGGTGGCGGATCATGTCGGCCTGGTACGTCACGTTGGACTTGGCGCGCGGTGCGGCGGCGGCAATGGCCGACGCGTCGTTCTGGTGGCCGCGCTCGTTGGCGCCGGACTCGACGGCAGCGTCAGCCACCGAGGGGAACGCAAAGGTGTTGGTGACCTCGAGCGTGCCCTTGTTCTCCATGCCGACGATGGCGCCCGTAGCGGTGGTCGGGAAGGCGGACGAGCAGTGCTTGGTGATCTTCATGACGACGAGGGCCTCGACCTGGACCGTCTGGAACGGCAGGTCCTTCGAGGTATCTGTGGCTGCGACCATTGTGAAGGAGGGGGGGGGAAGGGTTGGGCTAGAGGGTGAGGTGAGGTTCGAGGCTGTTGATGAGTGACGACAGCGTCGAAGAGTCGTCGAGACAGCCGTTCAATGGGAACCCGGGGAGTCGAAAAAAACGAAGGAAACCGACGATGCGTCGCGCGTTTCGCGGGTTTGGCGGTGGAGAGAGGGGGGAGGCGCAGGGAGGAGACGTGTTGGCGCCGGTGTTGGTTTGGCAGTGGTCGTATTTTTGCCTTTTGCGGAGGAATAATTTTTCGCGTGTGATACGGCCTTCCTGGCGATGCTGTGCGATTTCTGCTTTTGCCTGGTTTGTGGGTTTGGCGGGCCATTCAAAGGGGGTTTCTACGGCGGTGAATAGCGGCAGAAAATAGTACCCCGCCAAAACGGCTCCGGGTGTACTCTTAAGGCATACAGTGTATAGTTATACAGTGTAACGAGAATGCACAGTATGGCATCGTGTAAGTGACAATAGACCAGCTTTTGTTTACACGACATGGCATACAAGTCAGAAGCCAGCTTCCAATAATATTACTAAAAATAATATGTATCCAAGAGTTCCGTCCAATGAAGGAAAACCGTAACCATCTATACCGATCTATATACCGTCTATCCGTCTATCCAGTCCTTTCCAACCGTTGACCATCGATCCAGCGACGTCTATGAATACCCAGAGAACCTAAGCGCCGGAGATTATGCCTTGTTGCTTCGAGGTAGAGATTTGGCCATGTACAGTCGACATTGAGCTGTGAAAATCATTGATGGGCTATTCGGTTTAAGACTTTGTCGTGCCCTTGTCCTCTGAAAATGCGTCAGCTGCTTCAATCTTGCCGACTGATTTACCAGGAGTAGAAGATTAGTAACTTACTCTCGCCCTTTGTGACTTCATATCCGGACCGCCCGGCGTCCGGACCGGGAATGGAAGGGGTGTTTGTAGCATGAGACATGGTGTCTACTGGTGATGGTGATTGAGGATTCTGGGTGTGGATTTCGAGGCGAAGAGGTAAGAGGTAAGAAAAGTAGAAAAGCAGAAGATGTGAAATAAGAATTGCAAATAAACGAGATGTTTGTATGAACTGAATGAGAGCCTGCTCGTGTGTTGCATCGTTTTCTGTCAACGAGAAGAGAGGAAGATGACCTTCATATATGTGGCATTTCAGCGCCTTCGTGGCAGTACACCAACATGCCGATATCTCGCATCAAAGTCTGTTACAGTACGTTTGTCAGATTTCTTCTTGACAAGCTGATGTTTTGATGGCAAAACCTTGTCCTCTTTTCTCCATTACCGATATTTCGGGAAGCCCCTGAAACATCGTGGAGTCATGGAACATTTCTGGAAGGCGAAAACGTGGAGTTGAGACTGTGGCGAGCGTGCAGACCACATGTTTGATCCTATTCTTGGTGTTTACTTCCACAAATATTCCTAACTGTTCCTAAAATATTATTAGGTGGCGCTGCGTCTCATCTTACCGACCTTGGATCACTGTCTACACCCTGCAGCCTGAGATTGGTATTGCGAAGCCGGATTGTGACAAGTGACAATCTTTGGAAATGCATCTGAATATCAAGAGACAATGTGGGGAATCTGTATGACGCTACATTGATTTCATTTAGATATTCGGCATCGCCGTGAGATATGTCATTGTTGTTCGATATTTGATCACACTTTGGTTGAAGCAAACTTTGACGATAATCAAAGAAGATCTTCGTCTCTTGCGAGGGATGCCGTTGCAATAGCGAAAATGGAAGCCTCTTCACGCCCGGCCATGTGTCATATTATGAAGCCACCTATGTAAAAGATTAACACGGTGCAAAGACCAGCTCTGGGTCCTTATGGGGAACTTCTAATATTTTTATTATTTCATTATTCTATTTATTTTGGCCCCTGAATACCAGGTGACACAAAGTGTCCAAAGTTGAGATATCCACAGTCGCCCATCTCCCTATTGAATGGGAGGCAGATCTGGCATGTCCTTCTCATCATATGCCGGCATCGATGTGCTCGGCGCTCGTAACCGTGATGGCGTTTGTGGGGCAGTTTCAATCTCAACGACAACGCTCGTCTCCATTTCCATTTGGATGGCCAGCCCACCCCCTCCCCAGCACGCTGCAACGATTCTTGGCTGGCGGCAATCGATCGGCTACCAATGGCGCCGCTGTCGCCGCTGCCAATGCCCAGACCGGTGACTCCGAGACTGCTTGTACCCAGCTCGCGCCAGCCACGAGGCCCGCGCAGGACTATGTCACGGACGCCTCGCACGGCCTCGCCGATGGGCGTCGTGCTGCTGCCACGGTCCTGGCTGCTGCTCTGGCTGTAGCGGCTCGTGTCCATGCGACTGCTGGTGTTGCTGCTCTCGTGGCTGCTTGTGTGTTTGAATTGCCCCATGTGATTGGTCCTGTTGCTGCTGTTCCTGTTGTTGACGCCCCCCTCTACCCACACCATGTTGCCAAATCGACGGTTGGGCGGCGTGCGCATAAAGGCAAAGGTGTTGACGCCAACATCTTCTTCGCCCACGTCACCAAAGACAATGTTGCGGCGCGTGGAACCCCAGAGAAGGACGTCGAGCCATCCGTTGCTGGTGATGAGCGCACCTGCAGCGCAAAAGTAGCCTAGTGGCACCTCGGCACCGGCCATGGTGGCAATACGACCCAGTGCCAGAGGCAGAGTGCAAACAACATAGATAATGGGATAGATGAGGAAGCCTGGGTGGCGCAGACTGTCGCCCATGGCCGTCTCGTTGTTGTTGTCATTGCCATTGTTTTCGAGATCCACGGCCGCGATGATAGGACTAGCAGGGCCGGGCGACGGAATGGCAATGGGTGCCAGCCGGATATTGACGCTGGACTTGCTTGCTTGAAATTGAGAAAGACTGTGATTGGGAGCCAGCTTCAGGCGTTGCTCTTGCTGCCGTTGTTGGAGCTTCTGTTTTCGGCGGAGAGAAAGGAAGACGAGAGTGTACAGGAGCGATGTGAGTGCCAGTGTGATGAAGATGAAGAGGTAGTGCGTAACAAGACGGAGCGTCTCAAATTGCTGGTTGATCCAGCACTACCATGTCGGTTAGCAGAAATTCAACAAGTATGACACGATACTGGGAAGAAACAGATCCTGGCTGTCGGCGAAGTTACGTGTAACGTGTCGACTGATGACGTACCCATGCTGAAGCGCGGACATAGAACCCGTCACTGGTTGCCCCGTTCCGGGTGGCTGCAATGCCGATGAGCGCCAGCCCATAGGTGAAGACCCAGATGCTGATGCACGCTGCATTCACCACCCACTGCGGTGGTTTGTAGCCCCGGGAGATGACGGAGTATGTGTGGATGGCGATGGCGGCGATGAACAGACTCGCAGACAGATCGCCGTTGGACACAAAGAAGCCCTGTGACCAACATGTGCTGCTTTTGATGATAAAGGCGTCGTTTTTCACCCAGACGGCGTTGAGCATAAAAGCCAAGGACTGATGCATGTCGGCCAGCAGCAAGTTGTAGAGGAGAAGGAGGAACTGGTTCAGCTCGGCCTTTTCTCGCACGACCTGAGCGGCTGTCGCGTCGTCAGACGGCGGCATCTGCTTTCGGCCGGCCCATAATGGCCACTTTTTGAACAACTTGATTCCTGTAGTCTTCCGAAGTGGCTGCGGAATCTGATTTTGGCTGGTTGTGTCAAAGTCGACATGAAAGTGCCGTTCTGCCAGGCCGAGTGCAAGGTCCATTGTTGGTGACAGCGGCTCGTGGTAGATACTGCCCGGAATTGAGCCCGCTGCTGCTGCTGCTGCTGCTGCTGCTGCTGCTTTTGACCGTGCCGCAGTCTTTTGCTTCCACCGGACAATTTTGAATGTGAGGTGGCAGAAGAGGGCACTGGATGAAAAGAGCGAGATGCACCCAACGACACTCAGTGCGGTCAGCCCTTGCTGCAGCACTGGTGGCAAGGGACGCAAGTCGACCGTCTCCGGTGGCAGCATGCTGTCGTAAAGCGCCCCCATGGTGCCGTTCCGAATTGGGCGGTCGCTGGCGTCGGCGTATCTGTCGATAGACACTGCATCTGCGTTTGCAGCAGCGTATCTACACACCCCAGAAAGCGTCGTTTGTTTTCGAGAGGAGGGGGGCAAAACGTGCGTATGTGACAGTCGGAGAATAAGTTTAAAAAACAAAACAAAGAAGCAAAAGCAAACTCTAGTCCACGCAAAGGAGAAAAGGAAAGAAATGCAACAACAAACAACTGCCCCTGTTGAACTCGATAGACTACAAGGCTAGGAGAGCATGCATCCAGGACAGGAGTAGTGTCGATGCACAAAGCAAAAGAGTGGAAAAGCCAAGACTTTTGAATACAAGGCACAGGTGTGACAGGCGGTTGGGTCGGCACAGGACTGGAGACAATGGAGAATAAAAGTACGGAAGAAGAAGATCAGACAAGCGTCGCCGTAAAAACCAAAGCTCTGCTGTTGCTGTCTGCCCATGAAAATATGAACCAGGCTCGGCAGCCAGATGCAGACCAAATGCACACCAAAAGAAAAAAGGGATCACTGGCGATCAAACGGCGAGGTCCCAAAGGACCGTCAACGGGTGAAAGCGTGAAAAGGACTGCCACGCGGCAAAATGAGACACAATATGTGTTGGTGGTGATACTTGGTCCTTTTCTGACGCTTAAGAATTCTTTTGCGTAGAGTCTTGTTGCCGTTGTTCAGCCTCTGGAGAAATCGTTTTGCCTAGTCAGTTGCACCTCTCCTTGATCTCTTCATCTCATCCTCACTATCGTCTTTTACTGAGTGTGGGCGCTTCGCCTTTTTGACATCTGGGTCAGTCATGCAGACGTCCTGCTCAAGCGTCTGATCAGCGATTAGCCGATCCCGTCCCCCCGCGCGGGTGGCTTCCATACGAGTATTGAAGCACAGACAGGACCTTTTGTAATTGTGTAGAATGGTAGCGAAATTGGTAGGCCACGGAGTACTGTAGGCAATATTTAAGGTAGTGGGACCTGCATAGGGATAAAGGGCAAGACTATAGCGTACAAGGCGGATACAACAACGTGGGTAAAGGTGAAGCTTGCGTGTCGATGTTAAGAAACCGCTGCCGGCCATTCAGACTGCGTTTTCTCTCTCTACCGAAAGTGCTGATATGGCTTCTGTGGAGAATCGCCTTTTCCCTCTCGGTTTCTACTACTATCTATTTGGAAATTGTTTTTGTTTTTCTAATTCATCGTATTGTATTTTACTTTATTTCGTATTCTTTTTCTATCCCTTTATTTTCCAGACTGAAAAAAAACTAAAACTTTACTGCTCACTCAGATCTTTCGAATCTTGTTTTTAAAGCCAAAAGCCAACAATTCAAACATAAAGGATATGCAGGTACAGCCAGCGGTCAGTTCGGCTTAGGTAAGGAGCTTGTCTGGTCTTAATGCGTCTTTTAAGCCGCTGGATTGCTTCGTCTCTCCGTTTTAGCCTGAGCTGCACTGGCTGTTTTATTTCCCTTACCGGCCACGAGGCCACGAGGAGTGGGCGCCATGTGCCTTGATGGCAAATTCATGCGTTCACGCTCGTCCCCACCGTACACGTTGCTTCTCCACGTCCTTCTGTACCATTTCGCAGATTCTTCTCATGTTCTGGGGTAGTCATTGGCCGTCTTGGCCCATCGTGCTTTGATTGGCAGCAGCGCATAAGCAGCCCAAACCCGTGCCGTGTGATCGCGACGATGATCGACGTCCAGCGACGCGTGGAGAGCATGAGCCCAACAGGTGTCCGACGCACGACGTATGGGGCATCCTAGGCCCCTTTTACCAGGAATTTTGCAACATCTTCCACAGAGTGGCTTATCTTTGTAGACGTTGCATTCGCAGAAACGGAATAAATCCTTTACGTCGTACGTTTGGGGAGATCGTCGTGAGCTGAGTCTTTTGTCGCCAAGAGGAAGGAACCTATCGGAGCTCCTTCCACGTGCCTCGTCCCCTTTACTTCATTGTGGCTGACGAAAACACGGGAAGGGACGTCGGACGAAACGGGTCGTTTACTCGTCCCTTCCCTCTCGATCGTTTTCGTCGACTTTGTCAGCTCTTTCCTATTTTGCCGACAGAGTCGAAATTGCCGTATTCGGACATTTTGGGGGCAGTTTGGGATTTGGGACTCCAGCATATGCCGATGATCGTTGTAGTGAGGCTCTTTGCTACTGTCATTGGGTCACCCGCTTTAAGCATATGGAAGTCTAATGTTGCGCAGCTTCGGCATCTTTACCTTTTTTTCCTCGTTGGTAACGTCGATTGGCATTGAACGCTTGCCGTCATTGTTTGAATTTATTTCATGATGTGCTTCGCTTTCCCTTGTCACTTTTGCGGCGTTTTTGTTTAGCATATCGACATGAACGTCGTAGACACCATGGCTGCTGATATAAAACGAGAGTGGCCAGGGCACGCCGAATGACAGGGAACCGGAGAACATGTAGAATGGACTGTGCCCGACCTGCATGGTAGCATGTTCCCGAGAGCTGCCAAGGACATACACAGCTACCTTGGCAGGACTGCCTCAGCATAGCTATTCATGACTCTCCGGCACCGACGTCGGTCGTGTCTAGACTGCTCACTACGCTGAATTGTTTATCTGTGAATTTGTATGTCCCTCGATAGTATGTCGTTATTGGACGTGCCACATAGAAAGATGGGACGATTTATGCCTCGCTCAAATCTCCGGGCCGAGTCTCGGCTATTTGGTTATCGTCCTGCATGGGCACGTCGTATCACTAGAGACTGTTGGCGTTGTTGGGAGGCTACTAAATGAAAGAAGTCGACTAGAACGCCGGAAGTTAGGATGATACGAGGGAACGGAAACGTCATGACATGATGCAATAGTCGCATTTGGAGATAGAGAAATTTATAAAGGAGCTGTTCATGAAAATTCGTACTGTAAAAGTACGGGGATACATTAGGGGCAGAAGCAGCCCAAATATCTGGGACAGAGTGGATTGGAGAAAATGACTACAGAGAAGAGAAACGAGCGAGTCACACAAAACGTAGTAGACAAGAGACAAAATATGCAACCACGGCGAGAGGCATCGTGCCAGATTATCGTCCCAAGTATGTTTACACAGCCGACGTCTCTTTTACACGTTCGACTTCGACGCGCTCGGCTTTGGAGCAACGGGGCCGGTGTGGGACTTGGACTCGGCGACGCCGAGGATGTTGGCGCCCTTGTCGACGTGGTTGGCACCGCCAAACAGGACATCGATCTCCTCGAGCGGGACCTGCTTGGTCTCGGGGATGAGGAAGTAGACGTAGGCGGCGAGGATGAAGTTGATGGCCATGAAGAGGAACAGGCACTTGAGGCCGGAGTCTGAGGACGGGGATTAGCGGCTGCACAGCGGCGTTGGAAACGGGCGGAAGACGAATGGGGAAATACATACTAGTCAGGAAGATGGGGAAGAACTGTTGGAAGATGGTGTTGGCGACGTTCTGCATCTGCGAGCACATGCCGACGGCCTGGGCGCGCACGTTCATGGAGAAGATCTCGGAGGTCCAGATCCAGGTGGTCGCACCCCAGGTGGGCTTGTAGAAGAAGATGAAGAGGAACAGCAAAAACACAATGGAGATGCCGACGGGCTGCGTTTTGGTGCCGTTGACTGTGGGCGTCGTCAGGCCGACAACAGAGACGACCATCATCGAGACGCCCATGCCGACAGCGCCCACCATAAGCAGCCAGCGGCGCCCAAAGCGGTCGGCGGTCCAGGTGGCGTTGAGGGTGAAGAGGATGCCGAACGTGGCGTTGAGGGCGTTGATGAGGTTGATGGTTGCGGTGCTGGTCCAGACCTTCTTGTAAATGGCGGTGCTGTACGAGTTGAGCGTGCCCTGGCCGGTAAGCTGCTGGCCAATGTTGAGGCCAAAGGCGAGCAGCAGACGCTTGCGGACCGAGGGATCCTTGAAGAGGGCCGCGTAGCCGTGGGAAATGGCCTCGCGCTCGTACTCAATGGCCTCACGGATGACCAGGATCTCGTCCTCGATCTCCTGCTCGGTGTCGCGGATGCGGTGCAGGGCCTTGCGGGCGCCCTCAATGTTCCCGTGGCGCTGGATGTGCCAGCGCGGTGACTCGGGCTGGAACGGCAGCAGGACGATGATGATGGTGGGGACGAGCAGCTGGAAGATGACGACGATCTTCCAGTCCCACTCGCCGAGCTTTGCGCGGTGCAGCGACGCGGCGTAGTTGATCCAGTAGGCGATAAAGGAGCCGACGGAATAAAAGAGCTGCCAGAAGGCCATGATGATGCCGCGGATCTCGGCCGGCGCCATCTCCCCAATGTAGACGGGGCCGGCAGCTGAACGTGTCAGGGACGAAGACAACGGGTATACATCCATCAGATGGAACAACACATACTCAGAGCCATGCCCTGGCCAAGGCCAATCAGCACGCGACCGCCGATGAAACAGCCCAGATTGTGGTACGGCGCAAACGTCTGCATGAAGGTGGCGACGATGGTGATGAAGCAGCCGACGCCCATGCCAGCGCGACGACCAAAGTAGTCAGCAACAGGGCCACCGAAGAAGAAACCAGAGACGATGGCGCCAATCGTATAGGCGGTGTTGATGAGGCCGATCAGGTACGAGTCTTTTTTCTGCACATTGTTAGGACATTGCAACGACGCCGGATACACAATGACATGCCATCGTCCGACAGAGACGTACCGGATCCAGATCGAACCACGCCAGCCAGTTCTCGGAGCCCTGGACAGAGTTGAAGACGGACGCATCATAGCCGTACAGGACCATGCATCCTGCCGCCACCATGGAAATGTACCAATTGTACGCGCGCTTGGACGAAACCATCTTGGGGTTGTTGTCCAGGCCGGAGCCAGACGGAATATAGTCGGACGTTATGTGATGATCGGGTTCGCGGCGCGGGAAGAGCGGCCGACAAAATGTCGTCTACTCTGAACGACACAGAGAAGACGGCAGGTGAAATCACAACGACGAGGAGAAGCAAACAAACCAACAGACCATTACCGCGTGAATGAATTATAGAAACAGAAATTGGGAAAATAAAAAAGAACAAAAAATAGAAAAAGAGATGAAGATTAGGTATTGAGGTCGTCTTTATGAAGACAAATCCGCTTTCGCGCTACGACGTGAGCTTCCCATGTCCTACCTATGCTTCCCTCGCCAAGTTCCCCACCCTATCTTCCCCATTTCCCCATGCTTTCGGATCTCCACATCCCCATGCCCGTATGTCGATGGAAAAACTACACCCAGCCAAATCGCCGCTTCGTGGCAAAGAGACACCGAGGTCGGCAGACCACCCCCTAGCTAGCGGTGGATGCAACGCCGCCGCAGTTAGTGACGGGCGGAAGCTGTTAAGTCGTCCTTTAGTCTTTTTGGCTGTTTGGCTGTTTGGCTGTTTGGCTCTCCGTCCAAGGAACGACTTCTACACTTGGCTGTAACTTTTCTTTCACCAATCTAGCTCCCGTCAAGGACGGGCATTCTCTGGACGAAGTAGTCTTTCTGCTGCCCCCCCTTTTCCTTGTATTTTACAGACGACGCCGTAGTATTTTCTGAGCTATTTCCTTAGTTCCACTTTGTCTTGTCCACCACTTGTTTTTCCGTCGATTCGCATATCTCGCTGCGGGTAAAGGAGGGCATGCTGGGTGTGCGTGGTGCACAGACCAAGCAAATTGGTATGTGGCAGCTGAGCAGGTGGGCAAACGGGTCAATCTATATGGGAGGAAAGAAAAACGTAAAATGGTAATGTGTATGTAGGTTGTTTTCAAATGCTCCTTGTTTATTCTTTGTCAAAATCTAGCCTCCCCGTCGAAAACGGCACTGTGGTTTAATCCCCATGCATTCGAGCTACGCGAACCTTTGCGACTGTGGAAGAACCGTTGCGTTCGGCGATTAAGTCTGAGACGCCAAATCGGCTGACGCATGGCCAGGGCTGTGGGTGTCATCGAGACCAGACCATGGAAGTCTGGCTGGCCGGGCTTGTCAGAGTGCAGAGTGCCGGGGCGTAATAAGTGCGGCGGAAGTGTCTTTTAAAGAACCATACAATCGCCCATGCTGATCTCGTGAATGGAAACGGCTGTCGCTGACGACTAGCTAGAGCGCGCTCTTGATAAATCTCGATTATGGTCTGTGCAAAGCGTTGTTAGCTGCAGTTTCTCTTCAAACTACTACTGCGACATTCTTCAGACCTGTACGCCAAAAAAAAAGGTAATATTCATTTCTGATAAGCTCCATCCTACGGGCTTTCACGAGTGATAGTTGCCTCATGCCTTTACACACACATACATATATATCATCCCCCTCTTAGGTCTCCTTAACATCTATTACCATAGACTTGTCACCTCTTAAGCCGGTACCTACTCGTATAGACTTTCGGCATAACTTGAATCGATTATTTTCTCTTTTCAAAACCATGGAAATGAAGCGATTCGAACGCCATATATCCACCGAAGTACCTTTCTCGATGGCCCTCCGTCTCTCGCGACTGAATAGGCTACTTTATGAACGAAAGAAGACCTGGTCACTAGCAGCCTGCTTATAGAGAAGAGCTCTGTACATAACTGCTTGTCTTCGATCACATATTGTCAAGGAGAACGAAGCCCTCTGTATCCCGAGGCCAGGAGTCGGTGCAAGGTGTGTGTAGTCACCAGAATATATGATGTAGAGCACCGGGGGAGAATGGGCAAGAACAGAGCAGGCCGGTGTCCACTACCCACGCGCTCCGTGTTTCCTTAATACCTTACGAGCGCTATTACAGCTCTTCTATCTCCGGTAAATATCCTTTTCGTTGACTCTCCATTTCCCCCAGGATGCGGCGCCTCGCTTTTACCGCAAATTGGGCATAGCAATACGAATCTTTCCTTGAGGGCGACTACATCTTCACGCATCTCACCCGCTATCGCCACCAGCCTTTTCCCGGCCGTCGTCCGGCCGTATACGCCGTCCTCACGGACCGTGATAACTAGGGCCGCCTCTCACTCTTTTAGCCTCCTTTTCCAACGCCACCAAAGAGGGCCTCGTAGACTGTCCCGGTAGTCTTCATGTGATAGATTGCATGTACCATCGCAAGTGCGTGTTGTCATTTTTTCTCGTCCCTGTCGCTGAAGCAAAAGAAGCGTCGACGATGAAACCAGCAAAACGGCTTACGGCCCAGCCAAATGAGACAGGCCAGAACCGAAGGAAACGATGCGCCGTGGGGCGGGAGGACAACGCATCTCACAACCCACCTATAGCGTTGACACGTGGCAGACGAGGGGCATCGCGGAAGCATTCTTAAAAGAAGTAGTTGATTCATGTAGTGACGGAGAAGGTTAAGAGCTGCCCTTTGTCAATCTCCAGCAACAACAACAGCAAAAACGGGTGAAGAAGAGCAAAAGATTGCTCTCACGCCACGCAAAATGTCCATCATAACAACGCCAGCGCTTCTCAGCCTCTGGACAGACGCCCAGCGTCATCCCGAATGGGCCACAACCCGATTTTGGGAATATTTTTTGAACTGCATAGTTTTCAACCAAGACGAATGGGCCGCGTCCTCGCAGCAGCCCCCGTCGCATGTGCCAGGGGTGAGTCGACGAGTGGACTCGGTGGTGGAGCACATCGATCTGGCGACAGGTATAAGCAGCACCGTTCTTTTTGTCGAAATGAAGCGCGCCGCGGCATCACAGACGGAATTGACCGGATGCGAACACCAGGCGTTCACGGCCGGATGCGAGTTTTCCATAGATACGAACCTGTCCCGAGTCTGGGCGATGACATGTATCGGCAGTCAGGCTCGGCTCTGGATCGTTGGAAAGAACCGAGACTACCTGATTCCTTATTTCCTAATAACCCATGGGAAAGCTGAGCGGGCAGAGTATGTGGAAGTCTCTGGAACAGGTGGTATACAACTTCTCCACTGTCTCAACTACATTAAAAGTTACTCATACCCGCCGAGCGATGTCGTGGAACAGTTGCTTGCCAGTTCTTCGAGCGATGATTCATCCTACCCTATGGACGACAGTAGCAACGAGCCTGAGTCACCAGAAGTATCTGCTCCTACCCCGGCCCATACCGTGGATCCATTCACTTTACACGGAGGTGACACGACCATAACCGGTGACAACGGCGACGAAACCACACCATACCAGTACTTGGACCCTATAACGCAAGATTGGAGCGGGGTGGTGGGTGATACGCCTGTAACGACAGGTGTCGCCGGCATCGAGGCAGAAGCCGAAGCGGAGGAGCAGGCATGGGTCAAGGTCAGCCTCCGCAAGATTTCGCATATAACAAGACGAGACGAGTTCACCTTCCCCGCCGTGGACGGAAAAGTGAGATCGACGGACAGGGGCGATTGGGATAAGGTCATCTATAAGAACAAAAATGCCTGGTTTATCCGGTACAGAGGAACCTATTACTACACGCGTAACCAACCGACATCGTAGAATGTTTCTATTCTACGTGCCTGGACGTCTTATATATCGAAAGAGCGGACGGTTTCCCCGGCACTACCACCTGTTTGCTGCCGGGGTTTTCATTTAGTTTGTTTGTGTTCTTTACAAGGCGTGTCGAAATCGATCTTCTGCCTCGTATGCAATTGCATACTCGTGCTTTTCCGTGTAATGAAAGTGCAAAACACCTTGGCCAATGTTGTGACATGTCCATCCGTCTTCGTCGTGAGAGTGCTGCGTCGTACGTGCTACAGACACAGCGACCCCCTCAAGCTTCATCTCTAATCTGCGCACGACAGAATCAACGATCGCATCGAACCTCGCCTCCCGTTCGAATGCCCGGTATTGCAGTGATCGGTGGCAGATGGCGACAGGATCGACCACGACGAAGCTTTCATCGTGGGAGACACGGCACTCGCCAAGGCCACGCACACTGCCGTTCGCGTACCGAAGAAGCAGGCCGCGAGAAATACCTCTGGCCGGTACGTGGAAAACCTCCACCGACACCACGTCGTGGAGCGGCGCGGACGACATGTATGTATCATCGGCGGACTGGGCTGTGAGTTTTGTCGGCATAGAGACAATAGCCGGTTGCCGGATATGTCGAATGTCTCGGGTGGCGTGTGCATCGCCGTCGAACGGGGCGTCGCGTCCGGTGTCGCTGGAATAGCCGCCGATGATTTTCACAGGCTTATCGTCACTTGATTTTCCGTAGACAAGCGTCAATCGCTCGCCATGTGCTAAAAGCATGGCCGTACCGCTCTTGCTTGTGGTTCCCAAGACCACATCGCCGGCCAGCTCCATGCGAGCCTAGTACAATGAGGGTGTCGTTAGTGCCCGTATTAGCGACCTGGTTCTGGAGGCACATGCGTGACATACATACAATTAGAGTAACGTTTTTGCCTCTGTACCACAGCCAGATAGCAACAATGCGGTCATTTGGCGTGACGGGCAAGAACACCCATACCGCGGTTTCCTGAGTATTGGCCGTAAGTTGATTGTATGTTGTCACGGCGTTGTCGTACGCGGTCCGATGGACATGCACGCCATAGATTACCCCGGATGTGAACAAGAACGTTAGGCCGAAGCAGTGGTTGATATCAACGGCGTAAAATTTGTTTGGGACATGTTGCCGAAGTGTCAGGACCCGCTGAAACGAAACAAGGTCGACCAAAGTGCACGCACGGATGTCTGGGGGGGAAGATGCAATCCAAATGCGCAGCTGGTCGCGCTTTGAAGGCAAGCTGAGCCGTACGAGACCATGCTGTTTATGTTAGGAAAGAGTAAGAAAGGGAAAAAAAGGAAAGAAAGGAAAGAAAGGAAAGAAAGGAAAGAAAGGAAAACCTTTTTTTCGACGTGTGTCTTTGCAAAAATGGAATTCTCTTGTAAGTCCACGTTTTCCACAATGGATGCCAAATGCGTCGCCGTTCGATTCCTATACACAGGCATCGCGTCTAGGCGTTCGATTTGGACGATACCTAGTTGATCAAATGTGATTCGGATGATCGGTGGTGGCGCAGGGTATGGCGGAGAAGCGCCGTTGGTTTGTGGCAAAGGATGCCCACGCTTCCACGAGACAATGTCGTTGAGTGGGATGCGACAAAACATGCCGTCTGGCCAATACGTCGCCCGGGCACCGAGGCATCGAATTGCGCGCCAGAACAAGCTGTGAGCCGACAACGAGTGGATGAGACACCTCAGCTCGAGCGGCAGCCTATTGAGCTGGGGCAGCCCTACTACTGCGGCCATGCGAGTAAAAGCGATCAGTTCGGCGTCATTGTGCGACGCAGGTCCAGCATCCGCTAGGTAGAGGGGGTCTGCATACGGCCACGGCCGGCGCCAAGCGCCAATGGTCCAAAGCTTATCCAGGAGGGTGGTGCTATGCCGGCCGTCCTCCTCGACGATTTGTCCGTCTTGTTCGTCCCTTTCACGACCCAAAAAGGCAAGCCCTCGCAGAAAGACGTGAAAGCAGTCGTAGTGTACGGCTACGACCATGGGCGCTCGCTTACACCGTGGACATTCGAGCCGAGAATTCCGGCATGGCTGCCAGCCGTCAACTTGTATGTCGTTCCACTGGTTTCGTGGAAATGGGAATGGGGGTGTGGTGTGCCCGGAGTACGCGGTCGCATCACCATTACCAAGCACTGTCACAAAAATTGCTGTGAGCATTGGAAGTGAGATCCAGAGACCTGTTGATGTGTAACTGATGGAAGGGCTCACTTGCAATGGAAATCTCATCGCACTGTATCGCATGGCCACAAGCACCACACTGGGGAACAAGCGGGAGATGTGCTCGCGTCATATGGTCGGGGAGATCTGCTCCCGCAATATGGTCGGTCATAGTGTCGAAAGGCCGTCGGCGCAGAGGCTGACGAAAAGACGCCAGGTATCGATCGTTCTTCTGTCCGGTTGTGAGCAGAGCAACACGAAGAACTTGTTACCGCCTCTTAAACCACAAGAGATCGCTGGAAGAATTAATTTGTTACACGCCTTTAGGGGCTCGCCAGAGGCACGGATAAGCACAGCTCCCCAATAGGTGCACTGCACAGGCCTGTTTTTGACATAATCTAAATGGTGACCTTTGATTGGCCCAGAGACCTGTGCAAATAAAGCGCCTTATTAATCGTTTTACCCCCCTTTTCATCGGAACAACATCGCCAACAACGTCACCAGAAGCATCGCCAAAAGCGTCACTTACGAAAAGCATACGGCATGGCGTCTCGACCTCCCCCCCCACCCGAAGCCGTATACGAGTCACGAGAACTCCTCCTCCAGTCCATCAACGGCTGGGCACTCTCCGCTGTGCTTTTGTTACGGGACAGTCAAATCGAGAGGGCATCGAGTTCAACAATACTCTATCCATAACCATGGCCACTCTACAGCCCCTTTGGCGCACCCTGTACACCGTACGGTCTCCACGTCTGAAAGAGCTGCTATTTCAAGCTATATACATGCCGGACTGGTCCCGAATGAGATCCAATCGTTACGTCGAAACACACACCAGACGTTACGCACTCGACAAGGATATCTATATCCAGATTGCTGAAATAAGGCGGCAAAGCTACCAAGGCCTTTAGTCCTACACTTGCGTTTGTGACTGGGCTTCAAAATGACGGCTTTTGGAGCCGTATTATGGTAGATTCAGAGGATCACGTCTCTGCTTTCCTACTATTTAAATGTCCTCTGTCCTTTTACACCGTACAGCCTTTTCCTGGCTGGGTAGACGTTCTTGTCATACATTGTGTTCTTATCGTTATCTTATCAAGATAGGTGCTGCTCGCATCGTCACTGCTTCACTTTCAACGAAATAGGTAAGATACACAAGAAAGAATGTAAGAGAGCGCTTCGGTCCCAAGCTACACTGGGCCCTTGGGCCGCTTTCTAACCCGATTCGAGCACTGTTCTCCCGAGTAAGGTGAGGATGATAATATCTGCCCCCTAATAATATGTACATTTCTGGTACAAGAGCCTTGCTAGGTGATGGAGGGGGCTTTTTTTGGTAAACAAGACAGCGGAGCCCTCTACCCATGATCTTTTCGGGTTGTCGTATCATCTCTCCTGCTCCGTAGACGTACGCCAGCGACACGGCGGTTAGGGTTCCGCACCAACCCCAACCACCGCTGCTTCCTCGCCGCTGTCATTCCCATCTACCTTTCTCAATAAGTAAAGGGATAAAGCACCGGTCTCTTCTCACTCACGGAAAGAAAAGAAGGACATTAGGTGGCTGGAAACGATAGCATGAATTTAATTGGCCAGATAGTCGGTTCGAGCGTTCGAAGTGAGGCATCAGACACACCCCGTGCCTCTCTGTCGCTGTTCAACCGCCACCTAAATCAGTCAATCATCGCATACATATACTACGAGTTTTAGTCAATATGTTATTTTTGTTCTCATTCTCTTCTCTTTCTCGATCAAAAGACGTATTTGTTTCTCGTTTCGATTTGAGTTTTACCGCCGTAAGCCAGGGTGATGTATATACCATATGAAACAATACAAGTGGCGAGTCGTCAGCTTCGAGAGCAAAAGTTATCAACTCGCTAAAAGGTCAAATGGTCCAAAAGGCAGCTGACGATGTCGTCTGCTTGTTGCAGAGCAACGTAGACTTAGATTAGAGAGTGTAAAACAAAAGATGAGACAAGTCGATTTACCCCACCACCCCGCTATGGTGGACTTTGCCTTTTATATGGGTATGGAGTACCGGCTTCGTAATCCCATCTCGAAACGGTTCCCCTCCCAAACAATACTTTAACAACAATCAAATCAAGATATGTACGGATTATAGCTAACGATCCGAGAGAAAGTTCAGCAGAACGTCGAACCTCTCCCTATGCACCTGCGGCTACCTCTTCAGGATGTGATGATTTCGAAGCTAGTTTTCGAAAAAAAGTCTCTTCTTTTGATATCGACACTATCCACCTAGTCTCCGGAGGGACTAGAACTGAGAAACTTGGAGAGATTGGTGAAATGGGGAAGATCTCCTTAGGCCAGCAAAAGCACAGGATAATGTGAACAGAACGTACTGTATTGGTGTACAGTTGTATTGTGGAGCAGAACTAGCATGCCGAAGCACTAAACCGTGGAGATGACAGGCTACAGAGAGAGGGGGGAGGCCAGAATCACGACTGCAGATTATTGTCTTTTTGGGTATTTCTTTCGTGACGCTTTCTCGGTTATTTCATAGTACCTCTTTCCCGAAGCACAGCTGTGCCGCACAATCGGCAGTGTGAAATGTGATGTTTCTTTGGAGATGATCTGAGTTGGTCACGATGGACTGTGATCAGTTGTGTCCAGATACGCGATGCAGCATTGGACAAGCAACTGTTGGAATCCAAATGCATTGATTTCTAATAAAACAATTGCTAGAATTGAACCTAACACAACAGACCCGTTCTAGAGGGAGTGGTTTTTGGGCATTGCCTTTCCTTTCCCAAGCATTGTCCCTAGGCATCTACAGTATCAACAGCAAAGATGGGGAATGTGGAGGATCTCGAGAAATTCAAAAGGGGGCGGCTGTGACAGATTGAAGGATTTCGAAGAGCCGTTTTGCCAATATGATTAGGTTTGCTTGGACTCCTCGTTTGTTTTCTGTGTCTGTCGGTTCGCGCTTCAATCTGGATCTCCTCTTTTGTGTGGGAGTTGACATCAATAGGAAATCCCACCAATGATAATTTTACCGGCTGGTCTTGTGGCTTTGGTGGTGGTCCAGTGTCAGAAGAAAACAAAGATACTGTGAATGGCATGTGCTGCTGAGAGGCTAGTGCATTTGGGCGACTGCAAAAAGCCCGTCGCTTTCCTGAGGAGGAAAAAAGTTTAACACGGGTTTTGTTCTCGCGTAGAGTATGGCGTAATTACTCTGTTCCTAGTAGTGTCAACAAAAGAAACTTTAGACTCTGTTCGTCACCTGTGGCGGGGATGGTAAGCAGCAGCCACCGTACGACGTCTGGCAAGCAACAGAGACGAACACTAAGACGAGGTCAGACATCGTGCAGCGTGCTTCCACGGCTTAGCCGATCATCGAGCCGGCGCAAAACAAATTCAGCTGCGGGAGTGCATGACGATGGAGATGTGTGGAGACGCGGGGAGAACATGGGTGTGATATCGGTGCGATGTTGGGTGGCCTTCCAGCCGTCGTGACCTTCTTGGAAGTAGACATGTGCAACTCTACTACAGCGCGCTGGATTGGATTAGCTTGGCTGCTGTGTGTGCAACGTAGCGATTTTTTAATGAAAGCAATGCGCAGGTATTCCGACGACGTTTCGTTATTTTGATTATTCATACCAAACTTTGAACAAATCCAGCACGACTTTCAGCCTTGTGGTGTGTCTGCCAATCGATTTGAGCCCTGTGCAAATTAAACATATTTTCTCACGGATCCCGCCGTCAACAGCCAAGTTAATGCGGCACGGGAGAGGCACAGAAGGAGCTGTTATCACAGCCCGAGTCAAGTAGGAACAACACCACAAACGCCACGGCAACAGCAGGTAGTTGGCTCTAACATCCGAACCATTGAATATCACACGATGCGCTGTTGACAGTCTCATAACATCTGATAAGGTCAAGGGGCCTCCAATAACACTTCCACTCTCACTCCTTGGGGTGGGTCGGGTCCCTGTCACAGTACGTGTCGCGGAGGCCAATTTAGTCTTGCACCAGATGGGTGTCCCCCAGATGGAGACTCCCTAATCATTACCGTCTCAGCTCTGGCGCTGTCGTCCCCTCCACACTTCCTTTTAGTTTTACTCCAGGGCGTTGTCTACGGCGGTAATCAGCGTCCCCCTGTTCTGTTGGATTTTCCAGCAATAAGAGGGCTCACCATGTCGTTTCCACGAATGAGCGTTGGTCATGTGGACTGCTGTTTCTTTTGCGCTGGGAAGAAGAGCCATATGCATCCCGTTTCAGTCATCACATTGCCTTCCATGTGCTTGTATTGACTTTCTTTTCTTTGCCAATTCTGTTTCTCGCTTCGGGCACACTTTATCCTGATTCTGTCTGCTATTGTGTGTCTTTTTATTTCTCCATTGGAGTTCAAGAACACATTCTGTTTCCATTCCTGGAATCCTACAGATCGGTTGAGTACACAGCGACCGCGCATAAAATTGTTCCGTTCACTGTATACAGAGGACGACGAGGCGGCGAATAGCGCTGTTCCCCGTGCTTGGTACTGGATCCGGATTTTCATGGTATTGGCACCGAGTGTCGATCTCTTCCCCATAGCATGTCGTAGTGGCATTCACTGGTATTTGAATTTTGATTTCGTCTATACGGCTGATACACGCACTCTCCTTGTTTTCCACTTCCTCAACGTTCCGTCGACCTAAAGAATGCTCGCCCACTGCTCGTAACCGCACTCCACGAGGATTCGGGCAAAGCACGAGACTGCGGCATTCACACGACCGGCGCTCTGTTTGAGCCCAGCGGGATAGTATGCGGTCGACACGCGCTCCTGCGTGAGATTCGAGGCCGTGTTAGGCTTCGACGACAGTGGATGATGTTTTATTATGCAGCAACCCGCCGTTGGCTGCAAAGGTCTACAGGCACTCCGGTTGTTCCACTGTATACCTCGATTCTTTCGATATGTGCAGATGACGTCCATGACTTTTGCATACGTGTGGGATCCGGAGGGGTTTGGTGCGGGCCGATGGGTATTTCGTTGTAGCCGCCGTGCTTTTGTGTGTGGCCTTCTGTCTCGTACGATATCGTTACCAGGTTCGTGCGGAAGTTCAAAGAGAGGCCACAACCGTTCTTTTGTCCAAAAGAGACAATGTCCGGAGAGGCCACGTCCACGATCTCGGAAAATGTGGCCGTTTTTGGTGGTGAGCAATATTGGATGACGCGAGGGTTGGGTGCCAGTTCAAACAGGAGATGCTGGTCGTCGACATAAAAATCGTCAACAGCACCGGTCGTATAGGTGCACCACAGCGGTGACGATGTCGTGATGACATACACGGCCGCCTGGCCGATTTGCGGGCCGTGGGAACAGGCGCCGCAGACAACAACCAGTTTTGGCTGGTACGGCCAAGTGAGTGCCCGGAGGACGTCCGCGCAGCCGTGTGAGACGCACGTCAGATTCTTCTGCCGGTGTAGGTAGTGGTCCATGCCGGTCTGTGACAGAGGATGAAGAAAGTTGATTGCCTGGGAAGCAAGAGGCAGCAGCGAAGCGCCATCGGAGTGACAGTCGGAATCGGTCAGAAGTTGCGAGAAAAGGGTGCGCCAGAGCAGTTTGATCTCCCAGTCCAGCGACCATGCATTTGTGGTGTCAGTCGACAAGGCACGAAATGCATCAAAGGAGACCGGGGCGTCTCCATGTATACCGCCAGCAAAAAGAAGACTGCGTGCTACAGCTTCGTAATACCTGGAACCGCTGGCATTGGCGAAGCTCATCCCGGTTTGACTGCCAAGGCGTTCACTCCAGACGTCTGGCTTGCGAACTCGTAAGATGGCGCAGAGCAGACGGACGACATCGTCGTGTGGAATGACAAAGTCACAAGACCGTGTGGCGGGTGCTTTCCAGCCCAATGCTCTCTGCACGTCGAGACGGATTTGCGACAGCGGAGGTCCAACGACAGGCATGTCCACGGGCAGCAGGGTGGCCACAATCTCGGCGACATTGTCCAGTTCATCCGGTGGCAACCAGACGTCGTCGGTGATTCCACCGTTCGCACCTTGGGTGCTCGCGGTGGATGTCACTCGTATTGCGAGACTGGCAAATCTGCGCCAGACACAGTTTTTGGTCGTGCCGTACACAGACAGCTGTTCTAGGTTGCGGCCCACGCTCTGGTGTGCGTCTGTGGCCAAGAGGGAAATGGCTTGGGTCCAGTCAGCCAGATCGAGCAGCGGGTAGTCTGCCCTTGGCTTGACGTCTGGGAACGGGTATCGTGCATTGTAACAGAGGCAGCGCCACAGGATATCTGCCGCGCTGATATGTGGCCCCATAATGTCTTCTACAAACGCAGAGAATTCGTGTTTTCCCCATACTTGATAGTGAGTAGACCTGGGCTGTCTTTTAATTATGGAGAGGGTCGACATGACTTACCACGCCGGCCAGTTGACGGATCGGTCACGGCAAACCTCATGAAGCCGCGGTACAGAGCCCCCTCTCCTTTTGACGCGTCTCGCAGAGCCGTAATCAGAACATCGTTGCCGTAATCTGCAACCAGTTCCGATCGAAGCTGCCGTTGCAGATCGTCTTTGGTCAGCTTCGCGTAGTAGAGGTCCACTTTATACTGGATATGGCGTCGCCAGTGCCGCACGCTGAATGGAGCGAGAAGCGCGTCAAACATGGCCATGGGACGGCCGAGTGTGGCCCAGATGCCGCTGAGCAGCACGAGCGCGATCAAGAAGAGGCCGCGTAAGAGGTTCGTTGCCGCTGCAGTCATTTGTGGAAGTCTGAAGCGATGTGACAAGCCTGAACGCGTCGGGGTGGATGTATTGGGTGCCGTGTGTCAAAAATGAAGGTAAGAACAGGCTGTCAGTAATATCTGGTCATATAGTGGGTCACGGGTTCCCGTAAGGAGAATTATCAGAGCATCTGCACTAGTTATCGTACAAGAGCATTATATTGTAAGAGCCTCCTTTATTATGTGGATTGTATTGTCAATTGAGGTTGCAGCTGCACCATTTCTTCGACGCATTGTTCAGAACCCCCCCACCACACACACACACACACACACACATAAATAAATAAAAAACGTACAGCAGCGGGTATTCGCTGGTCGTCACCGACCCAACTACTAATCCGCCGATTACAGGTTTGACTAGGGGAGAGCGGACGGGATCCCGTATTTTCCTGTATCTATGGCCGTACGTGGCTGATGTGAGAGCTGGTGAGGCTTTTGTAGTTTGTGTTGATGTTCGGAGCCACCATCACAGGTGTGTTGTTCCAGGTACGTCTAATAACACCACTAGTATTAAGATTACCTGTTGCCGTTAGTGGTAAGTAAACGAGAGGTCTCATATGCGCATAATATTGATAATGTTAAGTAATTATTCTATTATTGGCGCCTTACGGTTATTGCCTCTGTTAATTTCGACACAAATTCTGGGTGAGCATCAGCATACATCATATCTATATCTCCTACTCGGGGACCAGGTCGGCAGCATTGCCGTTCCGAACCGCGCATCCGCAGACCTTCAATACGACGCTGCATGACATATCTGAGCCTCTGCGAGCTATTATTGCGTACCGATGGATGGCACTTTTATCTGTGTTGTGTCGTGGCTGTGCCGTGACGGAAACGGCCACATCTGGAACACCACGGCTCATACGCGCCGATGGAAGCTAAGTCTGGGGAGGTCTGCATACTGACTTTGACAATTCTGGACAGCGAATTAAGCCATTCAACATGCAGGTCATAATTGGAATTGGAATGATGAAGAAGGTATCCAACAAACGATGGCATCTCATTCATATTCATCCAACTGTCGCATGTCACCCTGCGCAAATCAGAAAACCAAGCGACGACCCGGCAGCATGGACCTTGTGTCAACTGCTTCTTGATCGGACTCATGTCGACGTTGGCGTGCGGGGAAATATGGAGAAATATGGGGAACTGCTGGAGAATCTCTGCCGCGCAGGATCGTGGCGCACTAGAACAAGCACAGTGACGGATGTATAGATGTTGACTGATTAGAACGAGGGGACGTCCAGATCCCGCTCCGTCGTATGCTTTCCTGGTTCCTCACTTGTCCTGCTTCGTTACGTTGTGACAATCATTTGTAACGTCTTTTTAGATAGACACAATACACACGGCAATACGAGAACATTTCTGCCCCAATATAATCAACATGGCCGATTCCGTGGCAGGCCGACCATTCAAAAAGGTAAACATCCGATTGGCATGCCACCATCACCGTTTGTTCGCTGACCATGGTCCCGTCCCAACACCCAGGTCCTCATTGTTGGCGCCGGTCCTTCGGGCCTTCTCCTCGCCGTACTGCTGTCCCAGCACGGCATCCCCGTCCACATTGTCGAGGCGTCCCACGAGCTCGACCAGCAGCCGCGCGCGGCACACTACGGCCCGCCGGCAATTCCGGAGCTGGCGCGCGCCGGCATCATGGACATTCTCGAGCAGAACGGCGGCATGCGCCTCAACTCCATGTACTGGCGCCGGTTTACCGACCACACGCAGATTGCGGGCTTTGACGGCAGCGTGCTCCGGGATGCGGGCGATGCGGCGACGACGGTGACGACGGACCTGCGCACGGCGTGTCTGCCGATGCAGGACCTGGACGCGCTGCTGCTGGACATGTTTGTGAGCAAGTACCGGGGGCAGGTCAGCTGGCGGCACCGCGTGACCAAGGTCGACCAGGACGCAACATCGGCGTGGGCCGAGGTGGAGGTGCTGGCCGGCGATCTCGACCCGGCCCACGCCACGGTGGCCGAGACGGTGCGCATCGCGGCCGACTACGTCGTGGGCTGCGACGGCGCCAACAGCATTGTGCGCAAGAGTCTCTTTGGCAGCGAGTACCCGGGCACGACGTGGGACGCCCAGATCATTGCGACCAACACGTACTACGATTTTGGCGGCAAGTTTGGCTTTGACGACGCCAACTTTATCATCCACCCGGAGCACTTTTTTGTAGGTCCTCCTTCTCCCCGCCCCCCATTTGTAATACTCCAGTCCGCTCACCGCCCGCTCACCAGATGGCCGCCAAAATCACCGCCGACGGCCTGTACCGTGTCACGTACGGCGAGACGCCCGGCCTCACGCGCGCGCAGTACCTCGCGCGCCAGGCCTGGAAGTTTGCGACCATGCTGCCGGGCCACCCGGCGCCCCACGAGTACAAGACGATCAATTTCGCCCCCTACAAGATGCACCAGCGCTGCGCGCCCCGGTTCCGCGTCGGCCGCGTGCTGCTGGCCGCCGACGCCGCGCACCTCTGCAACCCCTGGGGCGGGCTCGGCATCACGGGCGGCTTTGTCGACGTCGGCGGCCTCACCGACTGTCTGGTCGGCATCTGGGACGGGCGCGCCGACGCGTCGATTTTGGACGTCTACAGCGAGAAGCGCATCGAGAAGTGGAAGACCATCATCGACCCCATCTCGTCGGAGAACTTTCGGCGCGTGTCCGACGCCGATCCGGCCACGCGTCTCGAACGGGACGAGTTTATGCAGATCCTCGCCAAGGTGGACGGCGACGCGGAGGCGACCAAGGCGATTCTCAAAGGCGCCCTGGACGTGCGGTACGACTTTACCCAGCACTACACAAAATGACACGTGCGTGAAGGTGGAAAGGATGTGACGATATAGTGGTGATACAGTGGCAGTTTGCTATGTACTCTGTAGTCTTGCCTGAATTGGAACCTCTATTCACCAAACATCCCTCCACCCGTAAAGCATAAGGCACGCCGCGCACAGCAACAGCACAACGACACAGCATCTACCACATCTTGAAAGAGTTGTAGGGGCCCTTGTCGAAGCAGCGGCCATTCGTCGACAGCGGGTCTTCAATGCCGTTGCAGTCCGACCCGTAGTAGACTAAATCGCATGTCAGCATGGTCTCCACTTTCGTCCCTATCCATGCATTCCGCGGGGACACATACCGCGCGGGTTGAGCATGCCGCCCGTGGCCCAGAAGAAGGCGCCGGTCTTGCCGTCCAGGTTGTAGCAGCGGCCCGAGACGGGGGCCGCATGGAACAGGATGTTGCGGTCGTTGTTGCTAGACGTGTCAGAAGAGAAGGGGTCGACGATGCATTCTGTCTCATGCGAGGTCCATCCGCTTCCAAACGTACCAGTCATCCATGCTCGCATACTGGTTAAGCTTGGGCTTGGCGGCCATGGCCGAGGGAAGCAGGGCAGCAGCCGCAAGAATAAGAACGGAAGACTTCATGTTGGTGGATATGAGGGAATTGGTGAGTTGTGGTAAGATGGTGTGTGTGAAAGGAGCTGTATTGGAGGCTGTATGATTGTGAGTTGTGCATTGACGAGATTCTTCTGTGACAAACAAAACGAAGCAGAGATATTTATGTCAATTTCTATTCTCCTTTGTCCTAGATGGTCCGGCCGCGATGTTCTACATAGGACCATCTTCCATTGCACATCAGCAGCTGGGCTGCAGCACCGGCGCAGCCATGTGGGACCAAGTCAGCAGCCACGTCTCCAGTGATACGAGAGATACGCGCTCTAGATCTCACGAACCGATGGGAGACGTTCCCTTTCTTGATGCCTTTCCTGCATCATAACATTGCGGAACGAGCATCCTATGGTGAGCTGCAGCTGCGAGCAGTGTACGGGTGGCGATGCAAAGCGGATGTGAGATAAACATGGCCACCGTTCCTGTCAACGGCATGCCGATGCTTTGATATCAATTCGCCACGCCATTCGAGTGGTTTTGATATAAATAACTATCGAGTCATACTCAGCCTTGTTTGGTGCTAGTCGTCTGTCCCGGGTTTTGCGTAAAGGCCCACGAACTGCAGACGGGTCGGCCTGTTTATCCATTTATCCAGGAGACGGTCCCGTTCGTCAATGATGTTTGCAGATAGTGTATCTAATTTAATACAGGATCTAGCCATTACAAAGGATGGGGGCGGAACGGCACTGCCTTGCAAAGATCGGTCAGCTTGTGGGAATGTAGTACATTTTTTATAGTAACATGCCACTTATGGTCACTCCGGGTCATATCAAGCCGCGTACGGTGGCGACAGACGGCTCCATATACTGGAAACGCCTCATGGGGCCAGATCCTGGAGGCTGACGCTGCAATATATTGTCTTGGAGAAGGATGAAGGTTCACGAAAAAAATAAGTTTTCCAATTTGCGTATCGACATGGGTATCTCTGCTAGTACTGCTCCTCCAGCCGTATCACCACTTGAAGCTCTCCTCGATGCTGTCGACGTGGAAGCCGTCGTGGACCGCTTGGACCACGGCGCGGTTGGTCGCGTCGGCCATGGCGCCCGGACCACAGACCACGACCGTCGTGACGCGTCCGACTTCGAGCGACGACCGGACGACGGCCGCCACGTCCATCCGACCCAGCGTGACGGCGAGTTTGCCGGCAGCTGCCACAGGGCTCGTGCACCAGAAGCGATGCTCCAGGCCCGCGACGTGCGCGGCCGGGACGAGGAAGCGCTCCTGGACGTGGCCGAGGAGGGCGTGTTCATGGGCCGACCAGGCAAGGATGAAGCGTGTGGCGCGCGGCATGACCGTGGACGTGTGTCCCGACTCGCCGACTTCATTTTCTCGGCCGACAGCGCGACCCTGGGCCGTCGACACGTACTCTTGCAGGATGCCCAAGGCATGGGTGATGCCGATGCCGCCGACGACGCAGAGGACGGTGTCGGCCGCCTTGAGCGGCTGCAGCGTGGCGCGGTGGCCGGCATAGGGTCCCTCGGTGTAGAGCGGCAAGTCAATGGCGCGTCCGAGGCCGGTGGCCGCGTGGTCACGCAGCCAGGCGGTCATGCCGTCCCGGGTGCGGATCAGAAACTCGACCGAGGGACGGGCCGTGGCGGCGCTCTGTCCTTGGTAGTGGCGATGGTGGTGGTGAGGAAGGGACTGCACTTGGACAGATGCCTCCTTTTCGTCTGGTGTGGTGGCCACGAGTGATGGCACGGCAGCCTTGTCGGGGACCTCGGTGATTTCATCGACGCCGGCGCCGTCGGAGGACGACGATCCGCGCGTCGGGTCAGCAGCCGCACCACAGGCTGCATCCGCCCGACGCTGGCCGTGGTCGCGGCGCAGCGACTGCGACTGTCCCGGCGGGCGCGTGTCGCTGTCGTTCCAGGCGGCCACGCTGAACGGATGGCTCTCCCAGCCTTTGCCCCAGCCGAGGCTCGGAAAGTAGAGGAAGGCGTGCTGGCCGGGGCCGTAGTGCCAGGTCCGCGGGTAGACGGTGACGTGCACAAGGTTGGCCGACCCCGGCACGGCCTCGACCGTGGCCCGCTGCTGGTGCTGGTGCTGCTGCGGGCGGAGGCGGCCCATGTAGAGGCGGCTGTAGTACAAGATGCGGCCGACACGCACGGCGCGGTCAAAGGCCCAAAAGGCAAACGTAATGTAGAGCCAGGTCTGGTAGCCGTAGATGTAGCCAAAGTGCGGCACCAGGTGGTACCAGCAGCCGACGAGCACCAGGATGGCGAGCGCAATGTGCACGACCAAGAAGATCTCGTACCAGCGCGTGCGCAGCGGCAGCACGGCGAGGCTCGCCGCCAGGCAAAACGCAATGGTGCCGACGATGCCCCACCAGTAGAAGGGCATGGCCACCTCGGCGGCGTAGGCGGAGGCGCCGGCATAACCGGGTGTATAGTACGCATAGGTGTAGACAATGGAGTGCACGACGGCCTGGACGGCGGCGACGCGCGCGGCCCAGCGGTGCAGCGCCAGGAACGTGGACTGGCTCCAGCCGGTGAGCGCCAGCAGCAGGTTGTTGCGGCCGGCAAACAGCACGGCCATGCTGAGGTTGACGAGGCTCAGCGTGCCGGTGCGGTTGCCAACAAACTCGCACAGGTTGAACTGCGGCGAGTTCCAGAAGGTGTTGGGCGCAAAGGTCGAGAAGGAGACGCAGCACAGGACAATGTTGAGCACGAGATAGACGCCGATGAACAGGCTGAGCGCGCGGCTCGGCACATAGCCAAAGCCGCCGAACGATGGCTCGTGGTGGCGGGAGGCGCGGCCCAAGAGCGCCGGGAGGCCGACGTGCTGCTGGAGCGCGGACCAGACGCGGGAGACCTGCAGGCGGCGCTCAAAGGCCGGGAGCGCGCCGCGCAGCTGGGCAAACAGCCCGCAGGCCACGATGATGCCAATCGTCGTCAAGTAGACGACCATTCTGACGGTGTCCGCATGTCAGCATGTCAGCATATCAGTAGGAGAAACCGGTCTTTATAGCACACCTAGGGTCGTCCTTACGCGTATTTTGTGTGGTAGTACTCCGACTCGGCAAAGTTGCCCTCGCTGCCGTACGTCGAGGCGTACAGATCGGCGTTGACGAGGCTCGTCGCGTTGAGCCACACGGCCGCGGCATCGAGCTCGGCCGTCGGCGCCGTCGCCGGCAGACTGTCTTGGTACGAGGGCCCCGCGGCGTCGCCGCCCAGCGCATGCGCCACAAAACACGCCGCCTGCTTGTCGGCGCCCACATAGCCGTGCGCGTCACAGTTGGACTGGATGCAGTACGCCATCGTCTGCAGCCACGGCGTGTTGCTCGCGCGGCACGCGTCGCTCGTCGTGCCCATCAGCATGCCGCCCATGTCATCGCCGCCCATGTCCATGCCGTCGCCGCCCATGTCGCCGTCGCTGAATGTCGTGCAGTTGAGGTAGAGGGCCGACAGCGAGTCGGCGCATGCCTGGCAGCACAGGTCCTGCCAGAACGAGATGCCATAGCCGATGATGCCGGTGCCGGTCTGGGCCGACACGACGGAGACCGAGACAAGCGAGAGCAGCGGCACAATGGCAAGCAGCCGTGACAATGCGATGCGTGCCATGATGGGTGTTGTGTCTCGCGACGAGGACGGATCCGTAGGGCTGAAGGGCTGTGTTGATCGTTGATCCGTCTGTGGGACGCGAGTGGCAAAGACCTGTCAAGATGTCAACTGTCAAACGTTGACGAAAAGACATGTCTTGACTTCATAAGTGCAAAGTAGAAAATAGCAAAGTATTCATATTCACTCATGAGTTGATGCGGCGGGTCTATTTCGGTATCCAGTGAGCGCGTTTGCGCTGAAATACGACGAAAATTGGGATGAAAGAAAACACAACCTTGCCGCACCAGCCACGAGACACGCACAGAAGAACTGAGGAACTGAACCACAGTATGTAATACATACGACGCTCGACCGATCCTTCTGTGGCCGATGCAACTCTACAGAGCGCTTGAGACATATTGAGCAAGTTTCGTGGGCAACTTGTGCAGGGAGGAAAAGCACCCACGTACCCGGTTTTTGAGGGCCGGCGACCATGCGAATTACTTCGCAGACAATGCCAGCTTCACACTTCACTCCGCGGCAGCGCAGGGTCTGAGCATGTTTCGGCTGCCTTACCAAAAAGGGCAACGAGCAGCGGGAGACGGACCACGGACGGGAACGCTGTCGCTGTGACTGCTTTTAGTACCTTTTTTTGATGCTTTAGCTCTTCGAAACATGGGTTTGGACGGATCCCGCGTCGATGCGAGTCAGAATGAGCAGGTTTTGATTGGCGTCGATTCCTTCCGACCCACAAGGCTCTGTTGACATCTGCACATGGATGGAGTAAAATGGAGAAGACTTGTTGGAGCATGGGCTATGGCCACCGTAACGCCCACAGAGTCGTGAGCCCTGCCAAAATGGCCAAAGTGTTGCATGGGCAGCTGTGCGGCCGGCGAGAGATAGACATCCTTGAAAGGAACGTGAGGCAGTATTTGTGTGGCAGAGCGACTCTTCTCTTTCTTGCTCTTCTCTTTAGCGACTCTTCTCTTTCGTCTGGTCTTGTTAATCTTCTCTAACCTTCTCAGTTGTGTTCTCGTCTCTGTGCTGCGTCCGTATGCCATCCATCGGCTGCGACGTGATCCGATCTCATCACCGCCATCAAACATCCAAAGAAACGTGCTCAGCGTCGCGGCAACCAGAACGGGTACAGAACGTGCTCAACCTTTACGCCGACATCTACTACAAAATAAGCGCCCGAGACAGTTTCCACGCGACATCGAGTCCATTTCTATACTTGATACCATTCGTCTACAGTCTAGTCTGTCCTACTCCAAAACACCTGCACAACACCACTCGCCTCTCCTCTCACAACCCACACGCGCAATGACTTCCACAATGACCATGGCCATGGCCTCCACCGGCACCATGGCCATGTCCATGGCCTCCACCACGCCGACGGCCATGTCCATGCCCATGTCCATGTCCGGCTCGTCCTCGGACCTCATGGGCATGTCCATGATGAGCATGACCTTCTTCTACTCCGTCGTGACGCCGCTCTACTCGACCGCCTGGACGCCCGCGACCACCGGCCAGTACGCCGGCACCTGCATCTTCCTCATCGTGCTCGCCGTCATCCACCGCGCCCTCGTGGCCTTCCGCGCGGCCATCTTCGCCCGCACGCATCTTCCGGGGCACGCGTCCGCCGTGGACGTCGAAAAGGAAAAGGCGTCGCTGCGGCGGTTCAATGCCGGGCGCGAACTTGTGCGCGGCGTCGTCGAAGCCATTACCGGTGGCATCAGCTATCTACTGTATGGAGTTCCCGCCCCTCTTGCAGACTTCTTGCCGACTGGCACGTGCACACAGTAACTAACAAAGTAGGATGATCGCCGTCATGACGATGAACGTGGGCTACTTTGCCTCGGTGATCGCGGGCTTGTTCCTTGGCGGCTTTCTCGTCGGCCGGTTCGACGACGCTCCAGCGCATTGTTGAAAGGGAGACTGTCCATGCTGCTGCTGTTCATTTGATTTCCTCACGTCAGCGATTACTGAAAAGCTGTGTATTTCTTTTTTTGTCGATTCTATATATGCTTTCTATATACGCGGGACGTGAATATATACATGATAAGGTGCATGGACTTCGGGACCCGCCTGTGGGCCGTCTTTATGTCTTAGATCATATGTCTTTGTTTTTATACTTTGATTTTTTTATACCTTGATTTCCTCGGCCAAGACTGTTGCTGTTCGAGTAACGTCCGCTTCGGATACAACACCAGTTTCGCCGCCTGGCTCCGCCACTTTTGGTGCCCGGTCCTTGCGGATGGACCAGCCGCCGTGCCAACCGACCCACCCCGTCTCGCGCGGACCGCGGACAACACAGACCAGGATGGCAACGGACAGCAGGCCGATGCTCAGCCCACCGCTGTAGCGCCAGCCGCCCATGGCGTACAGTCGGTTGCCGGCCGACGTGCCCGTCAGCTGGCCCACAAACGACGCAATCATGTAGGCGGCGTTGACGCGGTTCTGCGACTTGGGCGCGAGCCCGTAGATGGACGCGCGCAGGGCAATGTTGGAGGCCTGGTTGCCAAAGTCGATGAGGACGGCCTGCAGGACGGGGCCGGCGATGCAAAACGTGCCAATGCCGACGCCGATGCTGACACCAACGAGCTCGAGACTGGTGCCGAGCAGCACGGCCGCGACGGCCACGATGCGCTCAATGACAAAGCGGCCGTACAGCGGGCCCAGGCAAATGACCACGATGCCAATGAGGCCAAAGAGACCAATGGCAACGGACGGGTACGCGTAGGGCGGCGAGGCGAGCAGAAACGACAGCGTGGTCCAGTAGCTCGTGAACACGGCGCTGTGGCAGAACACGACGAGGCACGCCTGCAGCAGCGGCGGGTGCCGGACCACGAGCACGGCCATGCCGCCGTACAGCACCTTGCCGTAATGCAGCACCCGGCGCACAGCATGGCCCCAGCTGGCGGTGTGGTCCACGTTCGTGCCGTCACCGTCGTTCGCTGCGCGCCGCGCGTTCTTGGTCGGGTAGTCGGGCATACAGACAAAGAGCGAGGCGAACACGGCCGCCTGCGCGCCGAAGCTGAACCAGTACACGTTGCGCCACGACGTGTAGTTGGCCACCACGCCGGCCAGCAGCCGCGCCACCATCATGCCCAGCGACAGGCCCGACACCACAATGGCCACGGCGGTGGCCCGCCGGTGCGGCGGCGCCAGGTCGCCCACGAGCGGCAGCATCAGCTGCGGCGTGACCGTCGTAAAGCCGCAGAGGCAGGACAGCGCCGCAAACGCCGCGAACGAGTGCGTCACGCACAGCCCGATCCACGCGAGCGCCGTGAACGCGACCAGGCACAGAATGTACGGCCGGCGCGGCAGCACATCGGCCAGCGGGCACAGGAGGACGATGCCGCCCGCGTAGCCGGCCTGCATAAGCGTGGCGATGCTGGAGGCGTGCTCAAAGGAGACCTGGAAGGTGTCGGCCATCTGGTACAAAATAGGCTGGTTGTAGTAGAGGTTGCCGACCGTCGCCGTGGTTGCCTGCAACTGTCAGTGTGGACGGACGCGTCTTGTCCGCACGCAATTTGGGAGGTACACGCACAAACGAAAACAGAAGATTCAGCCCAAGTGTAAATTCAGGCGGGTTTTCGGGGTCATAGCGGCAGGAGCGTGGCGTCCACGAGAGGATGTGCCCGATGCGGCCCAAAAGAGTGCCTCTCGACGATGCTGGTGGAGGCACGTCGGGGGTCGCTCCGGCGTCGCTCGTCATAATGATTCTAGGGCGATGTTTCGGTGCTGGAGAGAGAACGCGGAAAGACCGACAGCGAGACGATCAAGTTGTCTTGCGCATCCTTTCCGTCCCCTCGGCCTCCGATCCGGGTACCAGTCTCTTCAGCTGCGTGTGTCGCTCGTGGAAAAAGGGCGTCATATAGCCAATTCGAAATGGGACAGTTTTCATCGCCGATAGTCTGGGGGACTTCAAGTGCTGGAGAATCAAGTCTCCACTCTGCTCCATAACGGCACCGTCACTCACACGAGCTTGACTCGTTAGGGGCCTGTTCGGGTTTCTTTCTCGGGCAATAGTGGCTCCTTCGCTCATCGCCGGCCCCCGATTTCCAGTCCTCAATGCCGGCATCATGGCACAGCTGTTCGCTAGCAGAGTTGTATGGTCGTAAGGCAGATATACGACGCATGTAGGGCAGCTGTAAGCGTCTGGAGATGGCGGTGAGACAGAGTCATGTCGCATAGAGCTGCTGGTGATCATAAGACGAACGGGCGGTGGTTTTGCCGAGACGGAGATTTGGCCCCGCAAACGGTTAATTGCCGGCCGTACGATTGCGACATTATCGCGTCACAGCGACATCGCACTTGATAAGGTAACAATACACATCGCTGCTGTGATGATGCAATAAATTCTGTAGGGTGCATGATTCCAATTGGTCGTAATTGGTTTGGGCGGCACGAGATAAACTGGACGGAAGTCGTTGCAAAAGTATTGTCTAATTACACATGACAATATATTTGTGCTTGTTGTGGTTCCTCGAATCACCACGGCTATACCACGTCTCACTTCCCACAACCTACTTACATGATATTGTGACATGGCAGTGTTGCCAGTCTACATGAGAACATTTCATCGTTTAGGACATCCGATGTCCTCCACTCGACACCTCGACGCTTCCTCGACTCTTTCACCACATTCAATGAGACCAATCTCGTCCAATGCGTAAGCTTATGCTTCTCCGCGACCAAAGAACAACGACGTCGAGACATATTGCACATGTGTGTAGATATATGGATCCCTTTGTGCATGGCCTTCAAGGCTGTCCCACGCCGCCATGTTCGTCTCCTCGCTACACGGGATGCGGCACGGGAAAGGAAATGGGCCGCACAAAACAGGTCCAGTCGGCGTGCAGCAGGCACTTGATGTCGTAGTCCTGCAGAAAGATGCACTTGGTCTCGTGGACGCCCTGGGACCGGCCGGCGCGGAGGCAGTCCTGGCTGCAGTAAAAGGCCGAGTAGCACCGGAGGCAGCCTTTCTTCAGATACTCGTAGCTCTCAATCTGTTGACGGCACACCTCGCAGAGTGTGGGGCCCTTGTTGCCCGATGGCCAGGCGGCGTTGAAGCTGTCGACGAATTGGAAGAAGGACGAGAGGGTCATTTTCACAGTCTGTGGAGAGGGAGAGAGTATGTCAGTCGAAATACGCTTTTTGTTACATGCCTGTCGACCTGTACGTAAATGAGCCGCACCCAACGCAAACTCACCTTGGTAGCGCTGACCGGCACCTTGTGCTTCAGAGTCAGCTCGCGGTATTCATCGCCGGACCAGGTCTCGTACATGGCGATAAAGGTTCGCCCGGGCAGGTACAGACGCGTGTCGACAAACTGGCCCTCCTTGTCCGGGACCACGCAAAAGGCAGCCTCCTGGCCGTCGTCGTCGCGCGTGTAAATGGTCCACACCGGCGCAGGGACGACGCGGACAATCTCGCCCGCATAGGCCCAGTGGCGATGGAAGATGGGCATGAGGCTGGCGTCCTCGCCGTCGTGGAAGACGTAGTTGACCGTGTTGTTCACGGGGAGCCGCATCAGGGGAAGAAACCGGGCGCGCGCGCACAGGGGCGGCACCCACTCGGCGCGGGCCCACACCCAGTTTTCAAAGGCGCGGAAGTCCCGGTTCCAAATGCGGCCCCGCCGGACGGGCCTGGGCGCGTCGGCCGGCACCGGCTCGATCCACAGGCTGGTCTCGCCGTAGGTCGGCTCAATCGCCGGGTTCTCGATGACGGCCTTGTAGTGGGCAATGGACGGATCGTCCTTGCCGCCGGTGACCTCCAGCTCCTTCATGACGGCGCGCAGAAACGCACAGCCGCGCTCGTAGTCGCCGTTGCGGAGGCACACGTTGGCGCCCGCGAGGTAGACGCTTCCGAGCTCCTGGCCGACAATGGGCATGTCGGGGTCCTTCTTGAGGACAACGAGCGTGCGGATCAGCTTCAGCACCCGATGCGGCAGCTGGACGTCGGCGCCGTTGCGCATGCGCGTTGTGATGCCGTTGGTGAGGTGAATGCTCCGCTGCACGAGCGCGTTGAGCGCCGCCATCTCCATCAGGGGCAGCTGGCACGTCTTGCAGTCGCAGATGAAGCGAAAGTCGCCCCGCAGGATCTCGCCGCGGGCCAGCTAGGCCTGGGTCGAGTCCAAGTACGACACGGTGATTTCATCGCCCGGCTGAATGGCGCTCACGGCGTGGACCCGCAGACGCCCCGTCGACGCGTTCCAGCTCCAGAACGCGTTTGGCCGGCAGTCGTGGTTGAGAAACGACGCATGCGGGAAGTAGCCGACCTGGGCATCGTTGTCGCCGCTCATCCCCATGACAATGCCCACCGTGCAGAGGATGCCGACCAGCTGTTCAGCCGGGGTCGTGCCGTGGTATACAGTTTCCAGGGCGCCCAAGGTAGCACGCTCGTCGTCGTTGAGATGGACTGCTTTTTCGAGCACTTCGCTCATCAGGTCTTCGTCATACGGCGGTCCCTTGTGCAGCACGGGGAGAAGCCTGTCGAAAACGAGCAACGGAGCCTCGTTCAAGATGCGGGCACCTTTGGCAATGGAAGCTGTGGCAACGATGCCGTGCCCCTTGTTGGGGATCGGACAGAATTGGTACATTGTTGCCAAGGACGATGACGCCTTTCGTCTGGCCTGTGGAAGTCGGTTTTGTGTTGTATGTTCCGTGCCTATAGAACAAGTTGAGGGTAAATTCAAAGGTAAGCAAAATAAGCAAAAACGACAGCTGCAGGGTTGTGCCAGAGGCAGTTTTGTTGGGAAGAAATCACGCCAGGAAGGGCTGCAAAAATCAAACCAATATACGCACGTAAAAACACGATTCTCGTGGAGCACAGAAAACACACACACCGCACACACGAAGAGACAAATATTCTCGCACCCGGCGAATCCTCGACCAGGGCGTAGAAGTCCCTGCGCGTCCCGTGTTCCCGGGTCGAGTACTAGTGCGACGTCCGGACAGGAATGGAAGGAGCGATGCCTCTCCCCCACGCACTTGCTTCGCTTGTTTCTCTTTTCTGGGTGTCATTTTGTGCCTATAGAGACATTTCCTGTGAGAGTTTCTGCTTCGTCGATGTGCTGTCGACGTAAGTGCCCTCGCGCCGTCGATGAGTACCGGCAGTCATCTCTGATGCTGGTGGGTGAAGGCCCTTTCAACGAGCGCCAGTCATCATGCCTTGTTGAGCCACGGACTGGTTGTCGTCTTTATATGAATTTATGCAATAAACGCGACGTCTCGATGCTGATCTATTGTCGACGGTTGGTTAACGGTCTGTGAGTCGTATCTTCCCATCTTGGATATCTTCCCATCTTGGAATGTCAAGTTTCTTCGTGGACGGATGGTTTTAACAAGAAACTAGGAGTGTCAACAGGGGCAGCGGCTCACTGGACATGAAACGGTCCGATGCCATAGTCGAAGAATTCCAACAAATGCCAAATACCAAATACAGTCCAAGTTTGCAGTCAGCCGCCGTGGCTGATCATTGCGCATGGCCGACAAGTCTTACCTATATACAACGTATCCGACTGGACGTCCGATGGGCCATAGATTGATAATCGGACAACCAGTGTGCTTCTGCCAGAGGCGAAGAGCTTTCTTGAGAGGGGCATTCTTGTACCGAACAGACACCACATCTCGACCCGAAAAGACTGCGGATGCAGGGCCACTATCACTCGACTGTGGCGTCTGGCAGTGGGTGTCAAACAAGAACAAAACTACAAACGGCGAAAAGAAAGAGATCAAAAATGTATTTAGTGCACCGCAGTCCATTTCGACAACGCCGATCTACGTTTTACAAACGGCAGAACAGGTTTGCCGTAGCCTGCTACGTTGACAGTTTTTGCCAACGGCCACGTCTTAGGCTGCCGTTGCATGCACTCTCGATTGAAGAAGCTCGAATGAGCAACAAATGCTGGTAGGTACAACAGAGCCACCCAAGGACCACAGCACGCACATAATCAACTGATGTTCGTTTCATTGTGCCTAGCACTCGATGACAGGTATTGGCATCTCCGGCATATTGCAACCGCTGCGATGTAACACGCGTCACAAAGTCCACGATGCCTAGAGTAGTAGTCTTGAAACAGGGTACCATCACCTGCACAACGAGGTCTATATCTCTATGCTTCTGCCGCAAAGCCACCCACGACTGCGCCAGTGGTGCCCAGAGCATGTCACTCACATTGGACGACACACCGTATCGCACCCTACAAAAGCACCTGAGATGCTACACTCTAGACCGGCCCGCGCGGCACCGGGGAACATTGTGTCGGGGTGCAGAGCCGTACGACGCGCGTCTTGGGCCTGGGGTCGAGGCCCGCTTCGCCCGTCAGGACTTTCTTACTCTGCAGGATGGAGCGGGACGGAGAAGGGGAAGCCAACGATACTATCACGATGGAACCAGTCCGGCGACTGGACAGCGGTTGTTCGTCGAGACAATAAGCGGCTGCTGGCTCGGCACAATCGCCAAAGCCATTGAGGCAACGCTATCCTTGGCAACTGATAGTTACGGACGCGTAACAAAGACAACGTTGGATTGAGAGTGAAAGTGGGATTGCGGTGCGGACGATAAGCGACGACAAAAGCTGCGACGACGAGCTACATTCGTCTCCAGAGCCTTGGAACATACAAGTCTCAGGTAACGTGTGAAATAGACGAGTTTTCTTATCGTGCGTTGGAACGTTGGAGAAATATACAGGTGGTCGCGGTCGCCTCGTATTGCTAAATTGAGGTGCCGTCCTTCCGCCGCAACATATTACGTTTTCATGATCCTACGACCAACAACCGGGTGAAAGACAAGTAAGCCACACCACATCGGCTATCACGGCAAACAACATAGTATTAATGTACCAATAGAGAAGATATAAAACCACACACACCCCTTGACTGAGAATACATCTAGCACGGTACGATTACTACGATACATTGCCCAGATCCTCTCGTCGGAAACCAAATCATGATGTCACGACAGAGACCGCATTGGACCTTGGTTGTCGCCCAAATTTTCCTTCTCTCGGCGACCTTGTCGGCCACGTCGGCGCTGGCCCTCCAGATCAGCCCCAATGGCAGCTGTGGTGGCAACACCGGCTTCACCTGTGTTGGATCGAAGTGGGGAGACTGTTGTTCGGGGCACGGCTTCTGCGGCAACATCGACGCCTACTGCGCTCATGGGTGCGACCTATCCGGAGGCACGTGCTATCCCGGACAGGGGACGACCGGAGTCCCGCTCGCTCCAAGGCCGACGGACGGGGCGGACAGCGCGCGATCGTGTCCCTTGTGCCCGGCCTGCCCCATCTGCATGTCGCCGTCGCCGACGCCTGTGCCCTCATCGTGTCGGAGGATTGTCACAGCAACGAGTTGGGAGACGGCGACGACAACAAAAACAGTGTTCAAAGCGGCCAATGGAACAACGCTTGAGTCGTCAACAAGGACTGTGACCTTGACGGCGACGGTCACGCAGGCACGCACGCAGACGCTTGTCCGCACACAAACACGGACGGTGTTTTGGAATGGAACCGCCAACGCCACCTCACCAAATCGCGCCACAGCAAAGCCACCGCTGACTGCAGCGGTCCTCCCTACCGCTCCGTAGCTGAGGACCGAGGTGTCTGGAGGGTCGACCAGCGGATGTGTGAAATCCACCAGAAACATCAGCTCGACGCGACGATCTGTGAGAGGCTGGTGCAGGTCATGTACGCAAAATACTATACGAATTGTGCCAGATACGTTGTTACGAGCGCGGGCGGGTATTGTTTGTGTGCTGGTGCTAGGGGTCGCGGATCACAGGGGATGAACGCATGCAGGTCAAAGACAGCTCGTACGGTCCTTGCTGTAATCGTTGTCTGTGGCATTTCTCCAGATCTGCAGACGGGGGCGGGGCCGTCGGGAAATCCACAAAGCGGCACAGACCAGGCTGCGGGCCGTAGGGCAACAACGGAGAAATCCCACAGGGCTGTGCGTATGTAGGTAGTGACCTTGCGTGGCATGGAGGAGGGGCAAGCTGCCAGTTAGTCCAACCGGATCATCGGCATAAAAGAGCAAAATAGGGCACGGGATATGATGGAGCAACGTGGAGTGCTCTGAAGAGTCAGATGGCTTTGGGTTGGAAGGCCGAGATGGTGGGCGATGCGAGAGTTGGGTGGCGGCGGAGAACCGTCCAAGCGGTGGTGTGCTGTGATAAGGGGTTTCCAGACCAGCCTCGCATAAATACGAGCCGTCTGCCCTTTTCTTTGTACTGTAAGGTGAGCCAATAACGCCTGATTTCTGGATTCGTGTTCTGCCTTGTTATCCATCGTCTCGAGGCCTTAGCTGTTCACTTTCAATCAACATCATCATCCCATCACTAAACGCAGCCATGTCAGCTTCCACTTCTCACCCTGCTGGCTCGACACCACTGGCCCTACCGCCTGGTATCGATGTTGAAGCGTTCAACAAGTTCAAGGATTGCAGAGAATATCGAAGTTATTGTGTCCGCGGACCAGATCGACCACCGCTCGTACGAGGATCCCACATACACGCATGACCGGCCAAGGTGGCGCCACGCAACGTCGGCCACGTGCAGGCTCTTGTCGGCCTGGCCAACCCGCTGTCGATGCCGCTGTGGCCCATCCCCATTGAGCGCAACTCTGGGTACGGCGGTTCAGGTCCCCGTGTGCGCGGCAGCCTGGTTGCTCAACATGGGGTAAGAACATGAATAAGATCCTCGAGGTGAACGTCGCCGGCGCGTACTGCCTGGTTGAGCCGTGCGTCACGTTCCAGGACATGCACAACTACCTCGTTGCGAACAATTTGCGCGACAGGCTGTGGATCGACGTGCCTGACCTGGGCGGCGGTTCCATCCTGGGCAACACGCTCGAGTGTGGCGTCGGATACACACCGCACGGCGACCGCTTTGTGATGCGCAGCGGCATGGAGATGGGGCAGCCGTCGGGCGACTGCGCAAACCGGCGACCACAGGCCTGCGGCCAGTCGTTCCTCATCACGCTGCCACGCGACGAGGACCTCAAGCAGGCTGTTGACATCGTCCGGCCTCTGCGCCTGGCCATGGTCCTGCAGAACCTGCCGACGATGCGTCACATCCTGCTGGACGCAGCCGTCCTGGGCACCAAGGCGGAGTACACCGACAAACAGGGCGTGCTGGGCGACGAAGAGCTGGACGCTATTGGCAAGAAGCTGAATCTGGGCCGCTGGACCTTTTACGGCGCACTGTACGGACCCGAACCCGTCCATAATGTCTGTGGGCGGCCATCCAGGGCGCCTTCTCGGCCATTCCCGGCGCCCGGTTCTACTGCAAAGACGACGTGCCTGCGAACGCGGTGCTGCGCATCCGCGACCTGACCTATGCAGGGCATCCCGACCGTTGACGAGCTGCGTTGGGTCTCGTGGCTGCCCAACGGCGCGCATCTTTTCTCCTCGTCCGTTCGGGGCGAGGACGCCGTGGACACCGTGGCGCAGTACGAGGTGGCGCGGCGGCGCTGCGAAGAGGCCGAGCTCGACTTCATCGGCACCGTCACCATTGGCAAGCGCGAGATGCACTACATTGTCTGCATTGTCTTCAGCAAGCACGACGCGGCCCAGAAGCGGCGTGCGCCCTGGCCAGATCATGGGCACGTACAACTGAAACAACAGCAGCTTCCTGCGCTTCAACGAGGCCATCAAGAACGCCGTCGACCCGAACGGCATCATGGCGGCCGGCAAGTCCGGCGTGTGGCCCAAGAACTATAAGAAGGCTGTGCGGCACTGCATCAGAGACATCTGTACAGCGAACAGTTCATTCGCACCAGCCCACGTGTCTCATGAAGGCTTTCAGCCGGGTTGAAGCCGCGATGTCAACAGAAGAACGCCAACCGGCAAGGAATGTGTGGGAATTTCCCGCTCGCACGTTCAGCCCCGACCCAGCTGGGTGGTTCAGCTTCCAGGACTAGCGCAGTCAACGCATGGCCAGGCATTGTCATTGCAGGCCAGCTGGCGTTTGTTCGATTGTCTGCCAGGTTCATTTTCCTTTGCTTTGCACTGGACCAACGACAAGGGCCTATTGGCAGCCATTGGGTGGCGATTTTGGACAACTCTGAGACAACAGGCGTTGGCACCTGCCAATTTGCGTTCTTTTGCGCTCCTTCCTCGCCAGGCTGGTCTGTCGTGCTGTCGTACAGCGTCGCCCATCGCCCCTGCCATCAAACAGTGCGAATTCTGAGGCCGCACCCTGCCACTTGAATGGCCAGCCAATTTCCCCGCATTTCTCCTTTCGCTCGCTAATCGTTGGTCCGTCGTTGGGTCCACGGAGATCACCGAGCTGAGGCGATGAGAGCTCTGGTCCGTGAGTGCGTGTCTCGCTGTGCCTTGCCCACACGCCCCTGGCTCCCTCCACTTGAGATCGGCAATTAGACTCCTTCGCCAATCTCTCTCTCTCTTTAGGGAGCACGACCAGCATCGTCATTCCCGTCTACGCGAACCGACGTCGTGACAACTGAATCGACATTCACGACGAACAGCCTCGGACAGAGACCGGACAACGTTAGATTGGGGATTGATGACAGCCTCCATGGAGACGTCCACCGCGGGGCCGCCGTTGGATGCGCCTGATGCGATGGATCGGGCGGGCGACGTCTCATCCTCTGGGGCAACAACAGCCCCGACAACAGCCGCAACATCGACCTCGACATCGACCTCGACACGACCCATCGACACACAGTCACGCAAGGACAATGAGGCAAAGCACAAGGGCTTTGCTTGCCTCTTCTGCGGCCGCCTCTTCAACCGCAGCGACTCGCTCAAGCGCCACTGGACAACGTGTGCCGTGCGCCGCCGCCAGGCACTGGAGACGCCACGAGTCGTTCCCAAGACCCGCGGCCGCAAACCGCAGGCCTGCGACCGGTGCTGCCGCCTCAAGCGCGCGTGCACCTTTACTGACCCGTGCGAGACGTGCGTCCGGAGCAAGCGGACGTGTGTCTACACCCGGGCGGTACCAGCGGCGTCTTCGACGTCGTCAACAACGACAGCAGCAGCAGCGGCGGCTGCAGTCCGAAATCCCGCGTTCATTGATACGATTGTTGTGGGCGCCGATGCTGGCGATGCCGTTGCCGTCGGACCGATGAGCGCCACGTCCCCAGCATCGTCCGGGTCGGCCAGCACCGGGAGTGCCAGTGCCAGTGCCAGTACCGGTACCGGTACCCGGAATACCGCCGCCGCCCCGGCTGCAAGCTCGACCAGCACGACTGGTTTCCCCGGAGATGCCGACAGCAGGACTCAGCAGCCAATCGACGCGTCTTTGCCGCTGTTTGCGTCTAACGAATTCGACTGGATCCTCGACGGCGTGGACATGGACGGTGTAAATATCAGCGAAGTCAACATCAACAACGTCAACAACGTCAACAACATCCACAACGTCCACGGCCTGAACAACATCAACAGCCTCAACAACCTCAATATGGACATGGTTATGGGACTGAGTGCTCCTAGCAGCGATCTCATGGGCGTCTTCGCCGCTGGCATGAACCCTGCCGGTGCTACAGTCCCGCCATCCATCCCCATGATGTCCATGCCGGCCACAACAGCCATGCCAACGACCTCCGCTGCAGCCATAATGCCACCGCAGCAGCCTGGGTACACCCAATACACGTATCTGCAACCCGGGGCAAACTACCACCACATGCAACAGCAGCAGCAGCAACAGCAGCAGCAGCAGCAACACGAGCAACACGAGCAACAATCTTTCCAGCTGCCCTCCGCCCTCATGCTTCGCCTCATTCGTCGGCCCACCGAGATCGACTTGTCTGCCCTGTGCGAGTTCTCCTTCCTCGAGCGCATCACCCGCACCAGCGGCCTCCTCGACTCATTTCGTTGCGGCAGCCAGGAACAGCGCCGCACCGTTGCTCAGGTCAGCCAAGAAAAGGTCATTGTGGGCATGGGCCGCGTGAGCGCGAGCGGTCTAGGCCACCGGTCCGCGTCCGGCCTCGCGTGGTCCAGCTGGTCGCCTCTTGCTCTGGCTGCGGCGCCTAACGACGACGGTGACGACGATCATATGCACCTGCTCGCCAAGACGCACGACATTGTGTCGCAAATCCGCGAGGTGACCTTGGCTCGTCAGAGTCTGGCAAAAGCCAACAGGGCCAAGAACAAAGCAAGTGCAGGGAATGGAGCGCAGTCCCGGGGCAAAGCAAAGGCCGACGACGGCTGGTCGCCCGCCATGGAAGCTCTCTGCTACGACTTCTTCCGACCCGCCAACATCCACAAGTGCCTCGCGCTCTTCTGGTCCTTCTGGTACCCAAACCACCCGGCCATCCATGGCCCTTCGTTCACACCAGCTGAGGCACCAGCCATGCTGCTTGCCTCCATGGTCCTGGTGGGTGCTTGCCTGGTTCCCGACGACAGCCCCAGTAACAGCAGCAACCACAGCCATCTCAGCCAGCTGCTCGGCAACCGTGGTCGGTGGGACCAGACGGCCGTCCCTGGCCTCTGGTTTGATGCCGTCGAAGAAATGGTGTTCCGTGAAGACCACGACGATATCGAAGAGACGTACGACAACGACCATGATGACAACGCCAGCCACCATTTCGGCGCGGGCGACAATGGTGCCGAACCCAACAGCCACGAATGCGAAGACAACGACTGCGACCACGAAGACTGCACCAACACGACCACCAACATGGTGCTCGCCTGGGAAAACTCGACGCACACCGCCCAGCGCAGTGCCCAGCTGGCCCGCCTGCAGGCCGGGTTCTTGGTGTGCCTCTACCAGACCTGGAACGGCACACCCCGCGCCAAACGCCGCGCCCGCCAGGATCGCTATTCGAGCGTCATCGGTCTCGCGCGCGACATTGGCTGCTCGTCGGCTACACTGCGCCCCGTCCGCACCGATTCGCGGGAGGCATTTGACTGGCCCGAGTACATTTTGCGCGAGTCCCTGATCCGGACCGTCTCGTACATCTTCGACCTCGACGCGGCCTACGCACTGTTTTACAGGCACCCGCCGCGCATGGTCCTGCCCGAGTTGCAGACCGACCTGGCCTCGCCCGAGTCCTGCTTCCGTGCCGAGACTGCCGACGCCTGCTTTGCCGAGCTCGCCGCATGGCGTGCCGCCAACGCCGCCATTGCAGGCAGCGAAAAGGGCAATGCGCCCATGACGATCGCCTCCGCAGTGCAGACACTGTGCCACGGCGCCATTTCGAGGGAGATTGAGCAGGCCTTTGCCAGTCTCAGCGTGCTCAACATGTTTACCATTGTGTCGGCCCTCTACGCCATGACGTTCCGCGTGGAAACGTCGCTGCTGTACACGTCCGGCCCCAGCGGCGAGGCCGCCCTCATTCAGACGGGGCTGCGCAACTGGATCCGTCTGTGGCCCTCGGCGTACCGCGACCAAGAGCTCTACGAGATGCACGCCACGGCGGCCACGATGGCCGCGGCGTCGACGTCCATGGACACGGCGAGTGGCTGGCCTCTGGCCGTCGGCTTCATGCGGCACGCGCCCGAGTACTGCCTCGTGGCGTTTGTCATTCTCGCCCGCATCCGCGGCGGCGCCAACGACGACGGCGGCGCCAACGGCGCCACCTCTGGCAATGGCAATGGCCATGGCCATGGCGGCCATACAAATACAACGGCCACCGCCGCCACGCTGGCGCCCGATCCGCCCGTGGTCGCCCCCATCTCCCACACGGTCAGCAACGCTGTCCGCAGCAGCGGTGTCCCGAACGTCAACAGTGCCGGGTCGGACATGGCGCTGCTCAATGCGCTGGTGACGGAGTTCCGGTGCCGCAAGGCAAGCTCGTACTGCTCGCGGATGCTGCGGCAGTTCTGTCCGCCCGACATGGGTCCAGAACGGAGCGGAATTGCCATGTAGGGAGAGGAGTGGGGAAGTGTTAGAAAGTTTGACAATGCCGGATCATGTCCGACGTGACGATATTTTGGGATTGGGCTAAGACTGCTTATGGACTGCTGTGGATTGTTATGGATTGTTATGGATTGTTATGGATTGTTATGGATTGCTATGGACCTGGCTACGGACCCCCTTGGATTGTTTGGATTTGCCTTTCCTGAACTGGCGTTTACGGTTATTTTTGTGGGAATTACTACCTGTATGTCTTGTATGAGTCAAAATGTATGATCTTGATGTGAAAGGAAGACAGCACACAACTACTGGTTCGGCTTACCAAGCAAAGTGTATACGTGGGTGACAGTGAGAACAGCGTAATTAAGACAAGCGTGTAATTGGTATCAAGGTATTAATTATATACGTCTATGTAGACCACGTAAATGTTCAATGCTGTTATCTTTATTCCAATCCGCGGTCCCAATTGCTTCCTCGCACGTCGTGCTCGCTTCTAATCAAATACGGACGCTTTGGACCACTTCGAGCGCGCCCGAATGCGCTTGCCGTAGATGTAAAAGACAAACGGCACTGGGATCAGCAGCGCGGCAAAGCCGCCCGTGATGCTCGAGCCGGGGCCGACGCCCAGATTGTGGAAGAGGGCGGAGACGACGGAGGGGAAGGCGGCGGCAAAGCAGGAGCGCAGAAAGGTGTTGGCGGCAATGGCCGAGGCGGCATACGTCTGGAAGGTGTCCACCAAGTAGTTGATGGCGGCCTGGAAAATGGTGAAGAAACCAGAGCCCGTCATGACGAGCCCGATGACGGGCGCAATCCAGTGGATGTCGGTGCGGGCGCCGGTCCAGCCCGTCAGAAATTGGCCGCCACTGAACAGCACGGAGCCCAGCATCATCGGCGGCAGGCGCTTCTCGGGGACGGCGCGGTTGCCGGCGGCATGGTATGCCTTGTTGTACAGCGTCTGGTTGTACACGTTCGCCGCGGCGCCGATGGCAGCGCCCAGCAGGATGCCGAGGAACGGAAGGGTCGCCACCAGGTGGCCCCAGCCGCGGATCTCGCCAAAGATGATGGGGATGGCGCCGAGCTGCATGTAGAGGATGCCGTAGCAGAAGCTGGCATACAAGGCGACCAGAAAGCAAATGGGCGTCAGGAGCAGCTGGATGGGGCGCACCAAGAACTTGCTGGCCAGCTCGCGGATGCTGACGTCCCACTCCTCGAAGCGCGCGTGCAGCGCCCAGTTGCCCGTCTCGTGGCGCAGGCGGCGCGCCTTGTAGACGAGCAGGACGGGGCCGTAGGACTCGTCAATCAGCACAATGGCCACCACGAGCACAAACGCCTGCAGGATGCCCGTCAGGTACTCGGTCCAGCGCCAGCCCAGCGACGGCTGGATCACCACGGCCGCCGACACAATGGGGCCCAACGCGGGGCCGCCCACGACGGCCATCGCGTAGCCGGCCATGGCGATGCCGCGCCACGCGGGCGAGAAGAGGTCGCCCAGCACGCCGCCGGTGTTGGTGACGGGCGCCGACGCGAAAAAGCCGCCAAAGAAGCGCGTCAGCATCAGCGTCTGGAAGTCCTTGGCCGTCGCGCTGCCAAACGAGAAGCACACGGCCACGAACATGGGCGTCAGCACGGCGCTGCGCCGCCCGTAGACCTCGCTGAGCGGCGCCCACAGCAGCGGGCCGACGGCAAAGCCCATCAGAAACAGCGCCGTGCCCAGCGTGGCCACCTCGGCCGACACGGCGAACTCGGCCGCCACGGCGGCCGTGCCCGCCGAGTACGACGACGACGCCCACGTGGCCGTCATGGTCACAAAGCCGTAGACCATGGTCGTCAGAATCTTCTTGCGCGTCGGCCAGTTGAGGGGGCGGTACGGGTCGTCGGGGCCGTCAAAGTCCACGAGCACGTCCCTGGTCGTCTGCACGCGGCCGAGCGGGTGCGAAAAGACCGGCATGCCATTGGCTTGCGCGCCGGGCATGCTGCGACGCGAGCGGATGCGCGACAGCATGGACTGCGTGCGCGTCACACTGGCGGCGTTGCTGGCGGTCGACGGCCGGCGGCCAGTATTGTTGCCACTGCCACTGCCATCAGCGCCCGTAGCTTCGGCCGTCGTCCGCCGTGACAGGCTTGTGCGCGACGTGCGCGCCGTGCGCGAGCGGAACAGCACCGGCCGGTGTCCATCGCAGCCCTCTTCCGGGGGTGTCGGCGCGTCTTCGCCGCCCTCTTCGTTGTCTTCGAGCTCGTCAGGACTCAGCGCGCCGGCGTCTTCGAGGCGCTCGTACTGGTCGTCGATGTCGTTGTCGTCATTGGCCAATGGGGCCGGCTTGGCGTCTGCTTTTGGTTCGGCCATAGCGGTTGAGTCGGGTGGTGTTCTTGATTCAGTCGTGTGAGTGGACGGACAGGAATCTGTCGTGTAAATGGACGTTGGGTCGAATTGGACCAATTGACAAAGTCAGTCGAATCGCCATTGCAATCAAAGACAGTCGAAAAGGCTTCGATGATGTTCCCCTTACTTGCTTTTATTCAGAGACTTGCTGGTCGTCGCCATGGGTGTAAACCGGCGATAATAATTTCAATAAAATATCCGTTGTTTTCGAGGCTCCATAACCGACATCTTTAGTACACCCACGTACCAGGTGCCGGCCGCAGGTAGCCGCAAGCCCCGGAAGTCTGCTAGCAACCCAAAAAGGTGCACAAACTGCCAGCAAAAAGGACCACCGACTGAAGCCGCACAGCCGGTCTTTTGTTTCCAGCGCTAGTCGTAGTTTCTATGCCTTCAAAGGGCTTCGGAGCCGAGCTCGGGTACTTTCAGTGCATTTGTGTGATGTTATCTTTGAGGTGGACGTACGACAATGGAGAATGCGAGAAAAAAGAAGAAAAAGAAAACTCACCGGCGACAAAAACGCGCAAGACGTCTCCAGTCCCGGCTATTTCCGCTCACACGGTGGAAAAGAAACACGCCGTTCCTCCGTGCGGACTGCAGGCTTCCTTGAACCTTCCTTGACGTCGGAAAGAAAATAAGAAAGGGAGAGAAGAAACAAAAACAGGAACAAACAAGGTCCCAATCAAAAAAGAGCGACAAACGCATCCGCACATCACTCTCGCGACTTCGGTCTTGGCATCGGCGTCGGCAGGGCCCGAACGGGCGAGGTGTGGAGGCCGTTTTAGGTCTGTTGTGGGAATACAGTGGGCTCCGTGGCGGGTGCCCCTGCTGCAAGGCTGCCCTGTGATGTCATCCCGAGCTCAGAGACATCTCGGTAGAAGCGTCAAATCTCTTTTACGGCATGTAGTCATCCGATTGCTGCTTGTTTTTGCAGATATGGGAACCATCTTGATTTCCACATTATGGGTTTGCGAGATATTTTGGGGGAAATTTTGTCCGTATTTTATGGAGGGAACGCTCTAATTGAGTAAAAATATAAATATAAAAATAAAAATTATATCCATTTTTTATTTAATTTTTTGCTTCACTTCCAATTTTTTGTTTTCTTCCCTCTGTCAGCCAATACTTTCAGAATCAATTATACAAACTAAAGAACAACACTGATACACTGTGCCAAATGTCCACGTTCCTCCTCAATGCTCTTCACACATAAGTTCTGCTCCAATTGACAAAGTTCGTATTTACGAGCTGCTGACATGCCCAATTTCGCTCAGACAACACTATGACCGTCCATGTCATCGGACACTTTTCGCAGCTCGGCCAGAATGAGACGAGACGGACAATAACAGGAGCATCGCTCGGAAATGATGATACGTGTGCCCCTTACGTGTCCAGTTATGTTCTGATCGGCCACTGTAGCATCAACGAGCTCGGATTAAAATAATGGTGTCACACTCACTTCCATATCCCTAACCCCTTCCCGCTGTCTCACTCGTCCGGCCCTGCCAAGGGTTCCGTCGACAGAGGAATAAGCCGAGCCGACAGGTCGGGCGGTGTGCGAAACTCCCCATCAAACGGAAACATGGGCCGCCTGATGCGCGTATGGCCCAGCCGCTTCAAGTCCTGGTCGACACCGCCAGGCGTCAGCGCCAGCATCCAGTCGGCCGCCATGGCGTACAGCTGCGGTTCGAGGTAGCCAATCTTGACGAGGACGACGTCCGCCTCGCGCGGCTTGAGGCCCAAGTCTGTGAAATCGCGCTCCAGGTGGTAGGGCTTGCGCAGATCCGTAATTATGACAAAGAGCAATGTACCTTTTGGGCGCAGGACGATTTCGGTCCGTGCATGCTTGTCGCCGTGCTTGATGGCAACGACCTCGCCGGTGAGTGTAATGGGTCCTGCATGCACATCGTCGACGGCGGCGCCCGCCGTAACCGTGACGGAGCTGCCGACGCCTGCGGCCACGGCCGTCCGTACCGCCTCGGGGCCTGGGATGCTGGCGTAGATGACAGTCGGCCGCTCGTCCTCGTCCTTGTGCGTCAATTCCTTTCGCTTCATCAGCTGCGCGAGCCCCCATGTCACGTCGCCTGATCCACCGGCCGTCGGGTTGTCCCCCGAGTCCGAGACAAAGAACGGTTTGGCGGCCGGCGGCGCGGCAAACGCCTTGTCGAGACATTCGTCGAGCGTGCCCGTCGGCGCCACAAAGTGGAACGCGGCACGCGCCTTCCAGAACAGCCGCGCCAGCCGCTCGGCGCCCGCGGCCACGGCCTCCGTGTGCCACCCCGTCACCACCACGGCGGCGCGGTTGCGCGGCTCGTCGGCCCACGCGTAGCCGACCCAGATGGCCGCATCGAGCACGCCCGAGAGTTCCTCGACGGCCGGGACAGCTGCGTAGATGTGCTTGGCCGGCTCGTCGCGTGTGGAGGTCTGCTCGCCCGGCAGCAGAATGGGCACAGGCACCCAGGCCTTGATGGGCCGGCGCCCGGGGTGGTCCACGAGGGTCTGGACGAGGTTGCGGCACGCCCGCTCCTTAGTGTCCAGCTCGTCCTCGTGCGGCGCCTTTCGGTAGCACGTAATCAGATCGAGCATGTGCACGAGCTCGCGCGACACGTTGCCGTGCAGGTCCATGGACGCGGAGACCACGACGTCGGGACCGACGACAGCCCGCACACGCCGCAACAGGTCCGCTTCGGAGTCGTCCAGGCCCTCGACCACCATGGCACCGTGGATGTCGAACCAGAGTCCGTCCAGATGGGTGTCCTTGATAATGGCCTGCAGTCGCTCCACAATCTCTGCTGCCAGCAGCTCGTACGCATCCCGCTTGATCATTCCGCCCGGCAGCGCCCGCCCTATGAGTGCGCCGCGCCAGTCGGCCGCAGCCGCGAGCGGTGTGCCCGCATCCAAGAATCGGTAGATGCCCACAGCGTCGGGTCCGCGCTGTGGGTGGAAAGCCGGTGCATCGGTGCGCGACGGTGTAAACGTGGATGTTTCGCAGGCGAGGCCGGCGATGGCAATGGTAGGGCGGGGCATGCCGTTTGTGGTGTGCGGTGTCGCTGGACGACGTGCGAGGGGATGGCTTGCTTGGACAGGTAGGTTCTGAACGTAATCAATGTCGACGTCCGGCGTCGCCTTTGTTGGCAATTGAGGCAATTCAGGGGTTGCCGTTGGCGAGAGGATGTGTGTTTCTGGAAAAGGAAGGAGGGGTTGGTGTAATACGGTCGGGCAGGTGCGATGGAGATGTGTCTGTTGCACGTCGTGAGTGTAATATAACAGAAGGAGCGATCCAACTCGAGAAACATTCGTCAAAGGATATATCGGTATACGGCAGGCAGTAGGCCGGCCTGGAAGGACCTTCCTCTTTGAGTCCGTACGGGTCAGCCTACTTCCGCACACGGCGCGGCGCGGAAGCGGAGATTGTTCAGCGGTCTTAAAGCGAAATGCACTGTAATTTAGGGAGCTGCAAGTAATTAGACCGAAATCATCAAATTCGTCAGGACGACGGCAAAACAAAACAACATGTAGCCTTGCAATTACAAAAGGCGAGAACAAAACGCTAATTAAAAGCGCGCGGAGCTGCAAAAAAACAAACTAAAACAAGACAGAATACAAGCGCGTGTTCAAAACCAAATCCGAGACGTCCTCCCAAATCAACATCGCTATGGGGTATCACGTAGCTGGTCAGTCTGCCGCCCGTTTTCTACCCCGATACGTCCTTCGTCTCTGCATTCCATGTCAGCTTGCTGCCTCGCCCTCGTCCGACTCTTGTCACTCCTTCACTGCCTCCGCTCGCCGCGTGATGCGCACGTTCATGTCGCTCTGGATGAAAAAGGCCGCGTTGAACGACTTCCACGGGTGCGCCGGGTCGACGAGCACAATGTCGAAGCGCCGCAGCAGCTCCACATACACCTTGTTGAGCTCGATCATGGCAATGTTCTTGCCCAGGCACTCATAGCGGCTGCCGCCGCCGAAATCCAGCATCACCGTCTGGTCCATGACGCGGTAGTGGTCTGCTGCGACGCCCAGCCAGCGCTCCGGGCGGAAGAGCTCGCAGTCGTCGCCAAAGACGGCCTTGTTGCGCATCACCGTCCAGGGCGCCCAGGCGACCGAGGTGCCGGCGGGGACGCGGTAGCCGCAGATGACGTCGTCGACCTTGGACACCTTGGGCAGCAGGCCCGTCGCGGGCGGCCACATGCGCAGGCCCTCGCGGATGACGGCCTGCAGGTAGGGGAAATTGCGGGCTTCCGCGTCCGAGATGGGGCTGCTGATGCGGCCGGCGCGCACGCCCTCGTCGATCTCGCGCTGCAGGCGCGTGTAGACGTGCGGGTTGGTGATGATGTACAGCAGCGTCGAGCGGATGGCCGTGGCGGACGTGTCGGAGCCGGCAATGATCTGCACGACGGCCTCGCCCTCGGCGTCGTCGCGGCCGAGGCCGTGCGCCACAAACGAGCCCAGAATGTCGCGCTTGACGACGGCGTGGTCGCCGTAGCGCGCATCCACGGCCTCGCGCGCCAGCGTCATGACGGTGCCGATGCCGACCATGCCGCGGACGTTGGGCAAAAAGGGCCGCAGGTACGGCGACTGCAGCGTGTCGACGATCCACGGCAGAATGGCCGTCGACATGAGGATGGGGACGGTGCTCTCGGTGGTGCGGATGTAGCCAAACTTGTCAAAGTCGGCGTCCAGGTACCCAAACGACTCGCCAAAGGCCAGCACCGAGATGACGTCGAGCGTAAAGAACTGCACCTTGCGCGCGAGGTCCACGGTTTTGTAAATGCCCTTGCCGCCCGTGTTCTTGGCCTTGTCGCTGTTTCCGCTCTCGCCCTCGCCCACGCCCTCCACCGAGAGATACTTGTCCTCGAGCAGCTTCACAAACCCGGCCACTTGCGCGTCAATGTTTTCGTGCAGATTGTCCACGTCCTTGCCGCCGTACCCGGGCAGCAGCTTTGACCGCAGATCGTCGTGCACGGCGTCGTCGAGCGTCGAAAACGTGCTGTCGCGGTAGGGGTCCACCCGCAGCCCGCGGTACCAGTACGCCCGCTTGTAGTTGGACCGCACGCCCCAGATGCGCCGCAGCTCGTCTGGGTCGCCGCACACCACCCAGTTGCGGCCGATGCGCGCCAGGTTGCCGTACTTTTCATTGACCGACTGCAGCGTAAAGTTGAGCTGCCCGCTGAGCTGGCCGCGCACGAGCCACAGGTCTGTCCAGGCGGCCCACCGCGGGCCCGGAATGTGACGGAGGTGGAGGTAGCTGCGGATGCTACTGGTGACGTAGTAGACGAGGGCGACGACGGCCGCGATCCCCGCGGCGGGCAACAGCCAGGCCATGAGGAGAGGTGGGGGTCGTGGGGAACGGTTGGGAGGGGGAAGACGGGAATGAACAAAAAATAAAAGAAATTATGAAGCGGGATATTGAACAGGATGGCCAGAGACGGTAGGCTACGACGTAGAGTCGTATGATGGTCAATGCAAACCGGCTGAACGCAAACAAGCAAAAGAGTGGAATAAGTACGGAGTTGGAATGACTGCCGATTCCCGTTTCTGTTGAGTCGAAACGACAAAAAAACACGACAGAAGTGGGCAAATCTGACAACCGGAGAAGGTCGAATAAGAACCTATCAGCGTTCCTTGGAAGTTGAGGCACGGCCAATGTCTGAGTTGTAATCCTGGTTTGGGAAAACCGGAGGATGCACTTGATAAGTCAGTTTTTGGGACAGGCCATAAAGGATGGAATTAAAACAGTCATGACAAAGAGTGTACGGAGTACACAAACGGTAAATTGGAGGACGTAAACAACAGAGAATACAGAGAAAACAGTGAACAACTGAAGCAGAGAACGCAAAGAAACCCGGGAAGACGGAAAGTGGAAACGTCATTAAGACAGTTTTCTTGTGTCCCTGTAACGTAACCCGCCGTGGCGGTAAGTTGCTGCGTTTGCAATGAAAATACGAAATAACTGACAAGATAAAACGACACCCGTAAAGTGTCACTTTCACCACTGTGTGACAGACGCGGCTTGTCTTCTGTACTTTTTTGAGTATCTGTAAGTTGTGTTCCTGTCTGTTGTACGCAACACTCTGTGCTGGTGTCGTCTGGGTCTTGTCTCTTGCGTATGTTTTGTCTCTCGGTTTGTCGGGTAGGAATGGGCTGGGATTCTGGTGGCACACAGAGACAATTTGTTTTACCAGGTTGTTTGGCTGTGATCGACAAGTAACAAATATTACACGTCGTTTTTGAGAGGGGGGTCACTGGAGGCCGGGCGATGGCGAGAAAACAAGACGAGAGAGCAGGCAAAAACGAAAAGAGAAAGAGGAGAAAGGGAAGAGAAGAAAAGGGGCCAAAGGATGTGGTGAGTGGTGAAGAAGACGACTGAGAGGGGCGAGGGCAAAATGACGAGCGAGGGTTGATAGAAATGGCGACGAGAGGATCAAATAAAGGGGAGGAAGGACAAGAAACAAACTGGTGGGGGGGGGGGGGGGGGGGGGATGGAGCACAAATGGACTGTCAAAGGCTGACACCAGTGCACCGGGCACGCCAGAACGGAATACGACTCTACGCCTGGCTCAAGTTCCCCTCCTTTGGACCACGGAGCCGAAGAAAAAGAAGAAGAACGGGAGAAAAGAGCCAAACAGATGGTGGAGAAGGTTTGTGGCAGGAAGCGCGTAAGATACCGTGCGGCGGAGAAGAGAAAAGGGGCAGTGGGCAAAGAAAGGACCTTGGATTTTGCACGCAAAAGTGGAAACAAGCAGAAAATGTGACAGCAAGCGGTTCTGAGGACGGGAGAGCAGGGGGAGGAGACGGGTGGGAAATAGATTGGGGCAGCCTGAAAACGAGAGCGTTCCAGTTGTCTGGTTTGACTTGTTGCACAAAAAGTTGTTCTGGAAAGACGGACGGAGGTGCAGACGACTGCCTTTTTGAAGCATCGGCTGACAGACAGCAAGACAAAATATACATGAGGTGAAGTGGATGAGCAGACAGCACAGCTTCAGCTGGTATTCGCAGCAGTTTTGCTTTGATAATTCCCCCTTTCCTCTGTTGTAGCAAGAACTCAGCTACTGGGCGTAGGTTTTTTTCCCTTTCTTTATTTCGTTAAAAACATTGCGTTTCAAGCCACTCAAACCGCTCGTTAGGGTCAGGGTGCACGAGGACCGCGCTTGTTCTCTACTTTGTTTCCATTGTTTGGGACAGGGTTGCACAAACAAGACACCCTCCCCCCCCTCTGACAACGCACTCAGACCTACCAGAATACCGAGTACAAAGAAACTAAGAAAACAATGGGCACTGCGGATGTGCTGCCCCAACATGGACAAAAGACCAGTGTGATCCGACAGACAATAGGAACACGACACATCCATACGCAGAATGAAAACTAGGATGGAGCTTGACATAAAGCCGCATCCGATATACGAAAATCACGTCTACCTACGTGTTCGTTTATGCGAAGTGAAAGCGTTGAGAACATTCTTTCAGGGCATACAACATACCCCAAGCACGAAGCGTAAGTGGGGCCTTCATTGGAAACAATCGAGACATGTACGTCGGGAAGAATCCCATTGTGGGAGAAAATGGTGCCGCGGATACCGTAGTGTAGGGCAGCGGCCCGATAGAGACCAGACCCGGGAAGAGAAGAGCGAGCGGCGGAGCTAGCTTGGGTACAGGACGGAAGGATTGAGAACAAAGAAAGAAGTAAAGAAGGAAGACGAAGGAAAGGAGGGCGGAAAGGAAACAAGGAAATAGGACGAGGGGCTGAAAAGATTGAAGGGAACAGTCGCAGCAAGTGGACAGGAAAGGATGAAAATGCAAGGAACGTCACACAGAGTACTCCAAACGGTAAGGACGTGTCTGCTGTTGTATTTATCTTTCCAAAAGAAGAAAGGACCATTCTTGGGGCGAGACCTGTGCTTGCAAATACAGCGTTGCATGGGCGAGTAGGGTGGTAATATACGCCGGTCAGGTCACATACCTGGACGCATAGTTGTGCGTACGCAGGTGACAGGCAGGGGCATGATAAATCAGAAGCGAACTCGTCACGATACTACCTCGTACCCCCACTGTATTTACTTGTTCTCGTCCAAAAGTGGGATAATCTGCGGGTGATGGACGAGAGGATGTGCAGAGTCGGTGGGGAAAGACGACGGGACTGGTCGAGGCAAAGCTCTGGGCACAGAACGAGAAGAGAAAGAAGGCAGGAAAGGAACTCAAAATATAAATCACAATTACCGAAAAGTAAAATAAAAAAATAGAAGAGAGAAGGCCGCACCCGATGCAATATATAGCGTTGGTGATGAGTTTTCAAAACGAGTTTATATCACACATGAACGAGGCGACGTCGGATGCAGGACGTTGGCTATTGGCAGGAAACGACATTCTTCAGTGGCGCACAGACGACAAAAATGGAGGAACGTACGCCGCAGTCGCTCTCCGTACCTCCGTACGTTCGAAGACGAGCAAAACGCGCCAGCCGCAAAAGAAGAAAACTACGTCGTAACGATTGTGCAGAGTGTCAAAAGTGCAAAAAGTGCAAAACTGCCGCACAAAAGAGGTTGCTAAAACGAGCAGACAAGGAAAAAGAAAGCAAAAGCGGCCGGGAGTCGTCACTTTCAGACAAATGCTGCCTGCCGGACGAGAAACACCTGCCATTGCTGTACGGGTGCCCAATACGGAAGCTATGAGACATACTGTAAAATCCTAAAGATGGCGTTCATTGGCTCGGAAGAGAGCCTGCGTCGTGGTGGTGCTTGCAGCCAACCGGTCGAAAATACTAAACAGGAATGGCAGGCAAGGTCGCATCTCGACAGTGGATGCTTCGTCTGGAAGATGTGGCCGAAGGAGAAGACGGCAGGAAACGGATGTCAAGGCCAGCGCCAACGCGAAATGTGACAGGCCGCCCCCCAAAAAATGGTGAAAAAGACGCACAGGTGGTGGCTTGGTGGCAGCTGTTGGAAGCGGCCGCCCTCTCTCGGACACGATTTGCAAGCAAATGAGATTATGCACGAGGAAAAGCAGGGCATGAAGCGAGCGAATAAGGTGAGAGCTGGGGCCGAGGAGGGTGCCGAGCCAAGAGCACAGACGAATGAGGCAAGGGGACGTGGTGAGGAGACAGGAAAAAGAAAAGAAAGTTTGGACAAAAGAGCATGACCAGCCCTGTCCATTTCAGTAGCTCTTTCAGCTCAACCAACGGGACCAGTAGGCGCTCGTATTCTGGCAGCCTTTTTGTGATCCTGGTGCGGTAATACTCCGTCCGGTGTTCATACAGATGGATGGCCTTATGTTCTCGAACCAGCAGGAAAAGCAAAAGAGACAGAAACCAGCCGACCGAGCCGACATGCTCGTAAAACAGCAGCGGCCAAAAAACCCTCCGTTGCCGTTCCCTTGCCCAGACTGACTGCTCCGATATGGCACTTGGGGGCCGTTCCGCATGGCGAAGCAATCCGGGCGTCATTTCTGTCACTGTCGCAATTCCACTTGAAATGCACACTTCTGCTGGCGTTGTGATGATGCCAAGGTGAAGTCCATGTGGTCTCTACTGATCTGCTTTGTTGATACGATTCTATTCTTTGTCGTTGTTTTGTTGACTTGGCTAATTTTGAGTTCGTATATGGTCGTTGTCGGTAAATTTTGTTCGCTCGTCGTTTCTTATTTTCTCCCTTCTCCTCCTCTTCTCCTATCCTCTTCCTCTAAATATTTCAGCTCGCCGAACTCTACCAGCTGGTGCAACCCCGGACAACCGCCAGAATAAAAGTGCAAAGGGGCGAGAATGTGATGTGTCACAAGAAAATGAAGCGGTATAACCGAAAACTGAAGAAGTCAGCCTCCCCACGTAGCAAGACTCCTCCCAACTGCGGGATGTGCTCCCTGCTCCCTGCTCCCTGCTCCCTGCTCCCTGCTCCCATGCTCCTACAGTCCCATTTACAACTGCTGTCGCTACGCGTAAACAGTTCCCTGATGCCACAGTCTTTACGACGCACATTCTTCACCCCGTTTTCCATTTTCAGTTTTCACGCTCCTCCGGACAGGACATCTCTCAACAGTCCTCCACTTTTTGCCGGCCGCGTATCACCTTCCCGTGCTCCGCGCTTCAATGTGCATCCGCAGTCTGTTTGCGTCGTGCTGTTGTCACGGTCGTCGCCCCCTTTTTGCCCCGTCTCGGCCGTTCCATTCTGGCAATTATGGCGGCATCTTTTAGTCGCCGCCGTTTCGTTTCTGTTGTCTAAAACCGCATCTCCATCTACATCATCCTGGTCGCACCGCTTTCTCTCGTCCTGCGCCTCTCCAACTCCTCCAATGCTCGTTTGCGCCCACTTTGTCATCGTCGCACGCACTCTATTCCTCCGACTCCCTGGGTCGTTCTTGTCCTACGTTTCCTCTTCTTCTTGCCTCTTTCCCTCTGTTCGTCTCTCTGTTCCTTGACTCTCCCATCGTTCTCACTCTCTCAATCAATCCGACTTCCGATCTTCTTTCTCTCTCCCTCTCTCTTATCTACTCGCGCGCCCCTTCTCCCCGGTCTGTATTCTCTTATTATCTTTCCTCCGCCCACTCCTTTTTCTTGTTTCCTGTCACTTCCCCCGTTTCTTTCTTCTCCGGCTCTTGATATTCTTTACAACGTATCACTCTGTACAAATCCACGGTGTGATACCCCCCGTGCACTTTCTTTTATTTTCGGTCGGCCATCCTACATCTCGCTTAAGCACCTCTTCCCTTCCACTTTAATCCCCTTTCTTGGTGTTCCCGTCGCTTCAATCTTCGGAACAGGTTTTGGACGACTTTGTGGTTCTTTGCGTCTTCTTTTTCTCGGCGGGATAGGACAAAACAAAGCCAAAAGAAACCATAAGAGTTCGCTTCAATTCAACTCAGCCAGCAAGGGCGTACACTTACCCTTATTGCTCCTTCCCAATGGCCTCTCCGCCGCCGGCCGGCGCGGTGCCTCCCGTCTTCGACGACGACACTGTCGCTGCTAACATCCACCCGGACGACCACGACGATCCTATTGTGAGTATGCATTCTCTCTGTCTCTGTCTCTATTCCAAGCGAAGCCATAGGACCACAACCCTCTACGAAAATGGGCCCTGCGGGCGAACAGGGCGAAATGGTCGAAATGGGCGGTCGTGCAGAGCAAGCAAAAAGGATCCGCTTCTTTTCTTCGCTTCTGGCGCACTGCCGCTCGCTTACCGGTACCATTTCTCGGTGTGTCCCTCTGTCGCTTCGGTGTCTCCTTTTTCGCTTTTCGCGTTCGCCCCACGACCCTGCGTGCTGGCCGGCTGCTCGCGTTTACGAGTTGCCCTCTTTGACAGCCACCGCCTTTTTATTTTGACTGCGGTCTGTCGCCTCGCTTAGCTGTTGTTGAACATTACCAGAACTAATCTGTGACATCTCCCTCTCAGGTGGCGGACATGGACGAGGACGGCGACTCTGCAATCGATGTGGTATGTCTTTGTGATTTCCTTGCCTCCTTCCTTGCTACTTCTTTCTGCAGCGCCAATTTAGCGTGGAGGGCCGGTCCGTAGTGGCTACGAATTAGCGCCCCCCCCCCCCCGCGCTGTCAGACATACATTCAGTGCCCACGCTCCACTATCCACCATCTCCACCAAGGGACCAAGCGATCATCGAGCTTTCCACTAACATCACCGCCACCAGCCATTCCGCGAATCTCTGACCTCTCTCCGGTCCAGTATCCTGGCCTACCAGCAGGAAAATGGCCGTACCTATCACGCCATGAGTGCAGGAAGTAGGGACTATCTCCTCAACAGCACGACTGGACAACCATTGAGAAGAGCATCATCACTAACTGTCCGTAGAATATTTCCTTCCAAATGACGAGGTAGGCGCGAGTTGTCATTAGATATTTTTTTTCTTTCTGAAGTGACTTGTTCTCGAACAAAGAAGCCTCTGAAATTGTTTGGCCAATTGGCACAGGCAGAGACATAAAAAGCGGCAAACACAGCTACGAGAATCGTTCGAAACTAGTGCTGACAACAGTTCACCCACTCCAGGCAGAAATCGAACGTCTGGGTAAGGTTTTATCCCCATACTTGCTATAGGATGTCATCCACTCGCCGCTTCTAACAATAATAGACCTTCAACACCATGTTCTCACACTCACAATCGAGGGCAACCACTGCCTGTGTCCCAAGAACAAGGGTGCTCGGCGTGTCCTGGACTTGGGCACAGGCACAGGCATTTGGGCCATGGAATACGGTACGTCCTGCCGTCTCGGAAAGCGGAAATTGCAATTCATGGTTTCCAAGAATCCTGAGCCCTACTAACCAGTACAGCCGACGCTCACCCTGACGCCGAAGTCATTGGTGTGGACTTGAGTCCAGTGCAGCCAGAATTGTAAGCCAGCACGCCCGTTCCTGTCATCGTCCCCGAAGATAATACACAGCTAACCATCATCCAGCGTGCCGCCAAACTGCTACTTTGAAATCGACGACCTCGAACGGGAATGGACCTGGGACCGTCCCTTTGACTTTATCTTTGCCCGCATGATGGCCGGTTCCTTTACGGACAACGGCGCCGTCGTGCAAAAGGCCTACGAACAACTCGAGCCGGGCGGCTACTACGAGGCCCAGGACATGGCCCTACCCCTCGGCTGCGACGACGGCACCCTCAAAAAGGACTCCGACCTCTGGATCTGGATGGGGCTCGTCATCGAGTCCATGGAGAAGCTCGGCCGCCCCGTGGTCTCCGCCCAGCAGTGGAAGCCCCTCATGGAGCAGTGCGGCTTCGAGGACGTCACCCAGACCATATACAAGTGGCCCATCAACCGCTGGCCGCGCGACAAGAAGTACAAGGACCTGGGCATGTGGAGCCTCGCCAACATGGACTCGGCCCTCGAGCCCAGCTCGCTCGCGCCGCTGACCCGTGCTCTCGGCTGGTCCCGCGAAGAGGTTCTTGTTCTTGTCAGCAAGGCCCGGAAAGTCCTGCGCGACACCAGCGTCCACGCCTACTGGCCAATGTACGTTCCTTTTGTGGTTTTGTGGTCCTCGCATTCTTTCTTTCAGTCCTCGCTGCGCTCGCATTCTTTCTTTCAGTCCTCGCTGCACTCGCATTCTTTCTTTCGGTCCTCGCTGCGCTCGCTTTCTTTCCTCACTCACTCCGCTAACATGCTAGCTACGTTGTCTACGGCCGCAAACCGCTCAACGCGCCTGCCGCTCAGCCCACCGACGCCACCGTATCGCTCCCCGAGGCCAGCTCACCGCAACCGGAGCCCGAAGCCCTACCCGCCTCCCTGCCCGCTGAGACGCCTGCGCCTGCACCCGCACCTGCACCGGTACCTGTGGCTGCACCAGTCGTCCAGTCTGCTGCCGCACCGGCTGTTATAGAGGCACCAGCCGCAGACGTGGTAGAAGCTGCACAAGTCGCAGAAGCGGTAGCACCAGCACCAGCACCAGCACCAGCAGCACCAGCACCAGCAGCAACGCAAGGACAAGCAACCGAAGAAGCAACATCAACAGCAACCGCAACCGCAACCGCAACCGCAACGGCGACAGCTGCAGAACCCTCTGGCACTCCTCCAAACGAGGAAGACGAAGTCGTGCCCGCACCACAAGCAGCATCGTAATCCACCTGGCGGAGACTGTGCCGCCAGGCAGTCGGTGACAGGGATATACTTTGTATGTGCTCTGTTGGCCATGCAGTCTGTGAAGGTTAGGGGTTGGGTAATAAATAAACATATGGGCCATGCCATGCAGACCCAACGAGGATAGAAATGGGCTTCCTGGATTCTAGTGTCGCAATATACGTCGCTTTCTTTTCTTGCCGTCGATTCATTCTGCAAATACCGACTATGTATGTTGTGCGTTGTATCGTATCTTACACATTGCGCAATCCACTCAGCATACAAGCACACTTTAATATGGGTCAGTCGCTGCCGGCCACGGCAGGCGTATTCCTCGTACTTCCCCTCTCGCCCTACGGAGTCAGTGACGCAAGATCAATCAGCCGTCACGAATCTTGCCGGTGGACACCTTCCTCTGCGGGCAGGCGCTGTGGAGACAGTGGACACCTCTTTGCCCTCCAGCGATAACAGCTTGATACTCCGCAGCTATCAGCCAGTGAGCTTCCCAGCCTGACGATTGCGACCCCTGGAGGCTTAGGCGGGATTGGCGGTTTTAGCGTCCGCGCCCTCCCTCACCCGCCCACACGACACAGCTACGGCACGCAATATCCCCAATCCGGGCGTTGCTCTGGTGCCGTACCTGGCAGAAAACAGGGGCAGCAGGTGCCGACAGGCCAAAGATAAGAGCTCCTTCTGCCGCCCCGTCTTCACCTCCGCTTTCGCTTCTTTCCTCACTCTCTCAGCCCTTCCTCCCAACTGAACAATTCTCCTATGATCAACCTCTCCCGCCTGACTTAGATTCAGCATTCCTCCACTCTCGCCACCCTCGCACATCCACAACGATGGCCCGCCGCGAAGCTCCGACCGAGATCCCGCTGCGCTACAACACACTGCGCCATGCGACTTCACACCGCGAGCGGCTCAACCAACGCTTTGCCTCGGGCTCGTATTCTACCTTGAACGCGGCCATGGCGTCGCCTTCTGGTTCTTCGTCGTCGGCTTCCTCGACACCCGCATCCTCCCCGCCACTCGCTGCCGCCACGCCTGCCACCCGCTCGATCGAGTCGCAGTGCTATATCCAGAGCGGCATGGCCGACGGCACCCCCGCCGAGAACACCATCTGCATTTCCTGCGCCCGCAGTCTGCACGACGTCGACGTCAGCACCTGCCGTCTGGCACAGAACAGCGAGACGCCCTGTGTGATTTGCGCGTGGAAGCGCGGCGACGCTGCGGCCTTCACCAAGCCGTTCTTGCGTTTCATCACCGAGAACCCGACCGTCTTCCACGCCGTGGGCTACTTTGAAAAGCAGCTGGCCGACGCTGGCTTCGTCAAACTGTCCGCGCGCGACGACTGGTCCGGCACGATCCAGCCCGGCGGTAAATACTATGTGACGCGCAACGGCAGCGCGCTGATTGCCTTTACCGTCGGCGGCACCTATGTGCCTGGCAACGGCGTGGCCATTGTGGCGGGCCACATTGACGCGCTGACGGCGCGGCTCAAGCCGGTGAGCAGCAAGCCGACCAAGGTCGGGTACCAGCAGCTGGGCGTGGCGCCGTATGCGGGCGCGCTCAACGCGACGTGGTGGGACCGCGACCTGGCCATTGGCGGCCGCGTGGTGGTGCGCGACCCGTCCACGTCCAAGGTCAGCACGCGGCTGGTCAAGCTGGGGTGGCCGATTGCCAAGATTGCGACGCTGGCGCCGCATTTCGGCGTGTCCATGACGGGCAGCGGCAACAAGGAGACGCAGATGGTGCCGATTATCGGGCTGGAAGACACTGATGGCGCTGGCGGTGCTGGCGAGGCGATTGCGGGGGCCAACGCCTTCCTGGCGCAGCAGCCACCCAAGCTGGTCAAGCTGATTGCGGCCGAGCTGGGCATTGACGACTACAGCCTGATCCTGAACTGGGAGCTGGAGCTGTACGACCATCAGCCGGCGACGGTGCTGGGCGTGGACCGCGACCTGATCTCGGCGGGCCGCATCGACGACAAGATCTGCTCGTGGGCGGCGCTGGTGGCGCTGCTGCGCGCCCAGGACAACGACGACGCGGGCGTGATCCGCCTGGCCGCCCTCTTTGACGACGAGGAGATTGGCAGCCTGCTGCGCCAGGGCGCCTGGGGCAACTTCTTGCCGGTTACAATTGAGCGGGCCGTCGAGTCGCTGGCCACGAACAAGAACGCCGGCAGTGGTGCGGGCGCTGGTGCGGCGGCACTGGGCCCCGGCCTCGTCGCGCGCACCTACGCCGCCTCCTTCATCGTGTCCGCCGACGTCACCCACGCTGTCCACCCCAACTTTGTCAGCAACTACCTCGACGACCACCAGCCGCAGCTCAACGTCGGCATCACCGTCGCCTACGACTCCAACGGCCACATGACCACCGACAGCGTCTCCACGGCCATCCTCACCCGCGTCGCCGAGCTCAGCGGCAACACGCTCCAGCGCTTCATGATCCGCAACGACTCCCGCAGCGGCGGCACCATTGGCCCCGAGCTGAGCAGCATGATCGGCGTGCGCAGCATCGACGCCGGCATCCCGCAGCTCAGCATGCACAGCATCCGCGCGACAACGGGCGCGCTGGACCCGGGCCTGGGCGTGAAGCTGTTTCAGAGCTTCTTTGAGCTCTACGAGAAGGTGGACGCCGAGTGGCAGGAGTAGGCGGCGAGGGGGCAGCAAAGGAAAGAATTAACGAAGAGTGCCATTTGAGAGCCTGTACATAGTGTAGAGTATGGGGTGATGATGTTAAGAATTAGTTTAGAACAGGGCCATTCCCTAATATATTCATCTTACAGCTTTAATGAGACCTGCGAAAGCTTGTTACCGGCCACGGCCCTTCAGTGTTGTGACTGCACCTTACCTGGGGTTCGCTAGTACTTCTGCGGGGATCACGGTGTAAGAGACAAGCGACAAGAAAGACATTTCGCGTGAGATGGTGATGAGTCGTATCGTGTGGATGTTGTCTTCCGTTAAACCACTGTTTCTGTTAACTTTACGTGTTTTTTGGTTCTTCCGCTTCCTCCCGTCTTTGTTGCCTGCGCCACACAAAGTCCAGCTACTGTGTGCGCTCAGACGATCTGGGCTCCCTTTGCTCCTTCCCACGTAGTGCCGACCTTTGTTTGACGTCAGATCGTGGCAGGAGCTCTTCTACGGCTCTCCTTTGTTCCTTCCCCTCGCGTTCCAAGGACGTTGTGAGGACTACTCGCTTTGTCTTGCCACTTTAATTGCGCTTCATATCCAAACCATCATCACCACTTCCATGGACTGAATCGACCTCTCCCGTCTCTCCCACCAGTCGCTCTCCTGGCCCACAATGAAGTTCTTCGCATTCGCATCTGCCGCGACGGCGTTTGTCATCCCCGACGCCAGCATCGTCAGCCAGCTGATCCTGGCCGGCAACAAGGCATCGTCTGCCGTAGAGACATTCCACAATGCCGTCGACGCCATCGCGTCTGGTGTCCATGCGGTCGGCGATTGGCTGCGGGACGGCATTGTCGACCAAAGCAAGAATTCCAATCTGACGCTCTACCAGCTGATTGCAAGCTCCAATGTCACCAGCAACTTCACGGCCCTCGTCAACGAGTTTCCCGATGTCGTGGCCGTCCTAAACGCGACGGCTGCTGCCAATAGCCTCAACCACACCCTGTTCGTGCCCGTCGACACGGCTTTTGCAGCGCTACCTGGCGGCGGCCTCGCGGAAGATATGCCCACGGGTGACCGCGAGAGCATCGTCCGCTACCACGTCGGCCTCGGTGGCTTCCGCGACAATGAATTGTTCACCACGAATACGCTGCCCACCCTCCACCATGAGTCTCTGTTGGGCGGCGCACCCCAGAGGCTGCGCGTGCGCTTCGAGAACAAAATCGGCGTGCTCGTCAACTTTGCCGCGCGCATCATCGCTCCCAACATTGTGGCGGCCAACGGCGTCCTTCATGGGCTCGACGCCGTGCTCGTGCCGCCCTCGTTTGTCGGCCGGCAGCTGTCGCTGGTGCCCGACCACTACAGCACGCTGCTGCATGCCATGCAGGCGAGCAACTTCACGCAGTACATCCACGGCCTGACCAACCTCAACGGGTCCACGGTGCTGGCGCCATCCAACGAGGCCTTCCGGCGGCTGGGCCCCCAGCTGAACGGGTTTTTGTTCCACACCCCCCGTGGCCTCAAGTACCTGCACGCGCTGCTGCGCTACCAGACGGTGCCCAATGCGACGGTCTACTCGGACGCCTTTTACGGGTCGCCGGCGCTGGTCCCACCTGTGCCTGCTTCTGCGGTCGGTGCGGACGGCACCCGCGGCCCCGTAGAGCGCATCCACTACCAGCTGCCGACGCTTCTCGGCAATGCCACTCTATCCATCGACATCATGTCCGTCCCCGGCTCTTCGGTCATGGTCATCAACAAAAATGCTCGCGTCTCCGTCCAAGATGGAGTGGCCAAGAACGGCGTCATCCAGGAGCTCGAGCGTGTTGTCTTCCCGCCGTCGCCTTCCGGCATCCGTGGCAACCCGTCAGTCGACCCGCCGGTGAAAACAGTGGCCGATGTAGTGGCACGGTTGGGCCCATACGTGGATGACGACGGTGACGGCAGCGATCCGACTGGGGAGCTGTAAATGGGGCCCTGTAACATATGTGCGTGTAATCAAATACAACTTGAAAGAAACTGGGGGGGGGGGGGGGGCTTAGTTTATGGTTTTAAGAAACCAACAAAAGCGGTCTGGTCTTCGGTTGTTTGGGTCTTAATTTGACATCATTTGTTCTCATTATCTCGTTGTCGTCATATTTATGACCGCCATCAGCCAAACGTGCTCCACACGTCATGCATAAATGACAACGCAAGTGTATTGGCTTTGGCGTCGCCCACCGGCACCAACTGAGTAGCAAAAAAGGCCGCACGCTTCTTCTCTCTGTTGACAGCCCACAGCACGTTGGGCATGCCTTCCCAAGTGACTGTGCCTGGTGGCATCGACGAGACAGGTAACGCCTCGTCCCCGACGACCAACCCTCCGGCGCTCCAGTTTACGGCCAGCGCTGCGCCGTCGTGCCCAGATGCCTTGCCCGTAACAAAGCCATAGTTGTCAGAGTCGTTACGCAACTCCGACAGGGAAGCACTTCCAACCAGAAACTGTCCCGTCAGTAACAGGTCGTAGTGCTCCTTCGTCTTGAGGAGCACCGGCGACGACGACAAAAGCGCACTCAGCAGGGCCCCTACGTCCGACATGCTGCACGTCAGGCCCTGCGAGAAATCGTCTGCCTCTACCAGGATGGACATGCCGTCGGTGTCCGTCTTTCGCTCCACCATCCTCAGCCGCCGCTGCCACACATCGTCCACCTGCCGGGGCGCATACGACGACGACGCCATGCCCAGCGGGTCAAAAATGCTGGCTTGCACATGCGCCAGAAACGAGGCCGACCGTGACGCGCGCGTCACCAGAAGCTGCGTCCAGTGGATGCTGTAGCCGTACGCAAAGCCCTCGCCGGGGTGGAACAGCAGCGGGATCGCGAACCGCTGGGCGATGGCATGGGCCGAGTCGTCGACGAGGCCGGCCATGACCTGGTCGGCTGTGCCTGCGCCAAACCGCTTGTCAACCGTTTCATGGTCCGCCAGGCCGCTGGTGTGCAGTAGCAGGTGGCGCAGCGTGATGGGACGGCACGGCGCTCGCATCTGCGGTGTCGGTGTCTGTCCATCATTGTCCATCCCTGCAAGGACATTGCACACCCGCAGCTCTGGCAGGTGGTCATCCACTGGCGCATCGAGTGCCAACAGCCCACGCTCCACGAGCTGCAACGCCGCAATGTGCGTTACGATCTTGCCGGCCGAGCCGAGCGTCACGGTGCTGTCGGCATCGAGCAGAGGCGCGTCGTCGTTGATGATGTCGCTGAGCCACTGCCGACCGGCCGCGTGGCGGTACAGAACTTGGCCCTTGTCGTCGACCACCATCGCCAAGGCCCCGAGAAGGTCGCGTGCTGGTACTGCAGCGTCCGTGGCCTGGGCCAGTCGGCTCTCAAAGTTGTCCATGGCGGCGATAAAACGATATAGAACGATTAAGGCGACCGGGTGTTGTTGGACCTCGTAGCTGGCTGTTTACTTTTGTGCCGTCAGCAAAACGCCAGCGCTACTGTCGGCGTCAACAGCCGACAAATTTATGACAACAGAACAATAACAAAAACCAAAAAGGCAATATACCACTTAAGCAGTGACGTCGTCCCGCTATTGCGTCAGCCCTCTCGTATCGCATTGAGAGATACGGGGACATAAGGAGACACGAACCTCTGAAACGCGTACGGAGTATTACTGGGCATTCTGGCTAATCTACATTGCCTATGCTGGTTTAAGCAGGTCAGAAACGAGGGGCAGACCTGCCATGGCCTCTCCTGTGAGATATCTCAAAGCCGCAACCTTCTGCTTCTGCCTGATGCGCGATCCTGCTGCTATTTACAGCATCCTGGGCATTCCACGTGTAAACCACTGCGACTGGATATTTGCGCCATATTACAGACGACCAGAGCCTATCGTCTATCTTCATCCACAGCCAAATTAACGTGAAACATTGTCTAGGCTGGCATACGTCTCCTTTCTTATGCATCGAAAGCTAGAGTAGGTTCATCCTCACTCATCATGGAGACTGAGCAATAACTTCCAGACAGAGAATAGAGCATAAACCGTACTAGCAATGATGAAAAATTACGCAAAACCATGCAGAATATTTTATTCGCGTAATACATCCTGCGCTCAAGAGACTCGCCGTTGCTATTGTCTGCTGTCGGCCGTTGTTGTTGTTGCTGCGTTGCATTGCCGTTAATAGGCAACTAAATTGCCCGCAGCCTACCAGCCTACAACGTATTACAGCGGTGTCTTTGGGCGGAGACGCCCGCTGCAAGGTCCAGTCGCTCCTGCATCCCCCGCCAGCGCCCGCGCCTGATTGGCCCGCCCTAGCGTGCACGGTTGCCCGTGGTAGCAAGCACTGCCCAATCAGGACTAGCGCTATGCCAGCACAAGGAGACGACAGTGGGCCAAACGGGCGTGCACAAGCAAACGGACCAAAACAGAAGGCGGATGTCGCTCGAACGGGGGGCTCCTTCCCTCTCAACATCGACAACGAACGACCGACGACGACGACGACGCCTGCCGCCCGCCAATCCTCGACAACGGGCAGTTTTGTCGCCGCACCGCCAACAAGTTTCTCGACAACTTGCGACGAGCGACAAACGACAGACGACACACACGACGGGCCCACGACTATACGACCGACGACAGACGACCCGACGACAACACACGGCCAACAAAGACGACAACAAACGACGACAACATCGTCGGCAACAGGGCAGGCAACAACACCCATTCTCAACGACTACAGCTTCAAGAACAGCAAGACAAACATCACGCACGACTAACGCGGCGTCTATCGGAGCCTGTTTGGGAACATCGTCCGCACTTCTGATCCGACACCGCTTTTTCCGGTCCGCACTTGCACAGCTTGACGCCCTTCGCGGACACGGGCCTCACCTTGTCTGCCGAGTCCGCTGTCTAGGGAATAAACATATCGACGAGCACCACGACTTACAACGTTAACACGCCCATCGAGCCACAGCATGGCCGAACCACCTTCGTCCCCTCCCAGCGGGGACACCAGCACCGAAGATGCCCTCTCGTGGTACAAGTCGCAGTACGAACAGCTGGAGCACGAGCTGATTGAGTTCCGCGAGTCCAGTCGCGAGCTCGAGGCCGAGCTGGAAAAGGACCTCGATGCCGCCGACAAGCGCGAGCGGACGCTGCGGGAAAAGGCCGAGGGCCTGCAGTACGAGGTCGACGAGTGGAAGGTACGTACAGCCGCTGGCGTTTGTATCGGACGACACAACTGCGGCCTAGCCAATGCTAACTACCTTCGCCCAGAAAAAATACAAGGAGTCCAAGACCGAGGCCAACGCTGCCCAGAACACGCTCGAAAAAGAAATCACGACCCTGAGAGACACCAACCGCACCCTGCAGCTGCGCCTGCGCGACACGGAGGTGGCCAACGACGACTTTGAGCGCCAGGCCCGCAACACCACCTCCTCCCTCGAGGACCTCGAGTCCAAGTACAACGTCGCCATCGAGCGCGGCGTCCTGCTCGAAGAGGAGATCAAGATGGGCGAGCAGGAGCGCGAGGCCCTGCGCGTCGACGCCCAACGCCTGCGCGAGGAACTGTCCGACCTCAAGATCGAGGCCGAGATCCTCCAGGCCAAGCTGGCCAAACAGCAGGAGCAGCAGCGCGAGGACGAGCGTGTGGCCGAGGAGGAGGCCCTGGCCGAGGCGGCCGAGGTCCGCGCCCGCCACCACCATCTGTCCGCCATCTCCACCGACCTGTCCGTGCTGTCCGTGCCCGAGTCGCCCACCTTTGACCACTCGCCCAACTCCACTGCCAGCTCGCCCCTTATCACCACCCCGCCCGACGCCAAGTCCCTGTCTGCTGCCGGCTCGGTGGCAGACGCACAGGACTTGTCCATGTCATCACCTCCTCTCTCCGACGCCGCCGCCGCCGCCGCCGCCGCCGCTGCTGCTGCTCCTACGGTGTCCAAGCCGCTCCGCAAACAGCAGCCCGCCAAGGCGTCTGCGCCGACCCCACCACTCGGCCGCACACCCGGGCCCATGCGCAAGTCCAGACTGCCCTCGTCCGAATTCAGCGCAGGCGCCACGTCGACCCCGCGGTCCAAAGCCCTGGGCTCTTCCATTTCCTCCGCTTCGGGTGCACGGCCACTCGGCAGTCGCGTGGCCACCGCGTCCGCAGCCACCACCCGGACACCTGCACCACGCACATCCACTGCCGGCACAACGAGCACCGCTGGTCCTAAGACGGGCGCCCGTGCCACATCGCACAAACTGCCCTCGTCCAACTCGCTCTCCCACATCCGCTCCCTCACGGCCCAGATGCAGCGCCTCGAGGCCCGTGTCCAGTCCGCTCGCTCAAAGCTGCCCGCGCCCGTCAGCACCCCGCCACGTGCCTCGCCGCGCTCGCTCGGCATGGGTGCGCCACCTTCCGCCCTACCGTCGACCGTCACGATTCGCTCGCGGAAGCGCACAGTCGGCTCGGCCGCTTCGTCCGTCATTAGCGGCGACGATGCGACCCCGACACCCGCTCACCATGCCTCGCGGCCGGCCAGCAGCAAGCATGTGCCTCGTCTTTCCACCTCCGGCGTCAGCCGTCTGTCCTTTGGGCCCCTGCCCAACCGGGGCGGTGGCGGCTCCAACAACGGCCTCGAGTCCGAGTCGTCCCGGCCCAGCTCGCGCGCCAGCGTCTCCTCCTATGCTCGCCCGGTCAGCCGCAACGCCGACGCCCGCGACATGCCCCCGCCGCGGCCCATGTCGCGGGCGTCTCTGTCGGGTGCCCGTACGCCGCTGGGTCGCCCGCGCAGCTCGCTGGGCAGCAGCTTGCACGGCCACTCGATGAGCATGAGCGTCAGCGGCGGCGCCGTGCAGAGCCTGCCCGAAGACGACGTGGCCAGCGCCGACGGCGAGGCCTTCCGCACGCCCAGCCGGCGCGGCACCTACAGCAAGTACGAGATGGAAGCGGCCCTGAACACCGCGTCTGGCATTCCGGCACCTAGTGGGATCCCGATGCCCGGCAGCCGGCGGCAGAGCGGGGCCAACTCGGCGCTAGGCTTTTCATCGTCTGTATCGAGTCGGCGAGCGAGCATGACCACAAAGTAGTCAGGCGGCGAAGGTTGCATGGGGCTGTGTTGTTTTGCGTTTTCGGGTTCCAACTAGTACTACTTTTTTTATTATCCTCAGAGATACCACCTTTTTTTTTGTTCTGTTCTTGAATCTTTTGTTTTTTTTGTCGGCTGTTCTACTTCATACCAAACATTTGCCATGGTGTTGATGTTTTCTTGTATCCTTTCTTCCGTCGATACATCACGCTTCACGTCTTCCGAACTCCAAACACTCCATTGTCTCCCTCGAAGCAGGACTATCCATAATGCTATATACCATTTTTTCAAACACTCTCTCATTTTTCCTATTTTCATTCGTCGGCGCAGCCTTTGGGCATCCTACACTTTGCCCGATGCATACCACCAGAAGCCCGCTCGCTTCCATGTCTTTTTTTGTCTCTGTCCTCATCTTCTCCTTTACGTAACAAAGACGAAGAAAGACGATACCCACGTTCCGTATCACAACGATGAACATTGTCATGGGTATAGCAAGTGGTGTTTTTATGGAAAGCCTCAGTACACGATGTGCATGTATCTCCTTGTGGCTTTAGATTCTCATATAATACCGTGGCAGGAATTTACACGCAAAAGCCACTTGTGCACAGCCGTTTGTATTTTGAAAATTGTTTGTTACGAAGGGTTAAATTTAACAAAATGCGCGAGCCTGTTATTTAAAAAAAAAAAAAAATGAGTAATACAGAAGTATTACTAAAACAATATACATGTATAAACATGAATGAAAAGACAAATAAATTAAAAAGAAATTTGAAAGAACTAAGAGTAAATTTGAAATAATATGTTGATATGAAATAATTTCTACAATGGCACCTTTGCAAACTCTACTGGCATGACGTCCACCAAATGACTACATACTCAATGCACAACTGGTATAAGTATTTTCACCACAGCAACAAAGGCCTCCGAATGGCGGCCATGTTTGCCATGACCGGCCGAATGGCCATGGCGTACGAAGCAGATCGTAAAAGAAGGGCCGCTAGCCTCCAGCCGTGGAAGAACAAGGTGCTCTACCGCGTCTGGTAACCACTCCGTGGTCACTCTGCGTCTCTGGCAGCAAAAAGGTCTTTTTGAATTTGGCAGGTGCTATTTTTATCAAATATACGGAACCAAGCGGCGGCCCAGATAGAAGAAAACTAAAATAGATACCCGCTACGGCACCATACGGAGCGGCGGGTATTTTCACAAGGCTTGTCCAGACTGTATGCTACATATTAAACTGCTTTTTTTGGTATGCGACATTTCCGCATGTATCTTGACCTTACTGGCCGTTCAAGAAGGACCCAGCGCCCTGTCTCCGTGACGATGGACAGGCATACTAAATAGGAAGAACGGAAGTTCCCCAAATGACCCAATATGAATCTGGATTCCGCTGTACGAGGCTCTGCACAAGACGTGTCCTCTAGATTCCGCCGTCTCAGAGGACTGGTAGTTATGTGGAGGTTCAAGAAAAGCGAAAACAAGAGCACAAAAAGTGTCCACTCATGAACGCTGACTGGCCGAGATTCACGCATGGAATGCCGCCGAGTGAGATAGCTTACGCCATGCTGGTCAGACAATGAGACAAACATACAGTGTAGCGATGAACACGGCGCACGAAAAGCAGACGGACAAGCCGTTGGGGATCTGCGAGCGGTCGGAGGCGTTCGTTTTCGGTGCGCGGAGCGCAGACGCTGTCATCTTCTCGCTTTCTGTTGCTTATCGTGGACCGCATCTCGTCGTGCAAGAAGCGCTGTGCACCAGTCCATAGTCCGTATATCCCTGTCGTGCCCGCCGTGGCGGCTCTGTGTGATTCTGTCATTCTGCCTGTTTTGTCACCGCTTTTCTTTTTCTCGATGTCTGATGCCGTTACCTGTGGATACGTCAACAGCGCTCGGGTGAGCTCTGTTAGTGCAGTTTAGTTTCTTGCCGCCTGGGCCAACGGCGATCGCTCTGTGCCCCCCCCCTAGCTTCAATGGGATCCGTGTGCCAGTAAATTTTTTTATGGCTCCTATCCCCAATTGTTGAGGAAAAAATATGACCAAAAAGCCAACCGATGGTGCAAGGCCAACAACGACAAATAAACCAAAAATATGCCGCGTCAAGGGCAAAAATAAATAAATAAAGAAATCCAAAGACAAACATGCAGGAATGGAGGCAGCTCGGATGGCATTCGCAAATTGACCCCCCCTTCGCCGGCTGGTCTGGTCCCTCCCTGCTTGGAGAAGAGGCCAGAAAACGTCTTTGATCTTACCGCGTTGCTATCTTACCCTTGCCGCGTTGGGCCGTGAATTTTCCCCTTCCCATCTGCCTGTCTCACGTCATTGTCTGTCGGTGGTAGGTGCGACACCCGCGGATTTTAACTGCCCCATCGAGACGGACAAAAGGCGTCGATGCTGATGATTACGCCGTAATACCTGTCCCGTAACGATTCGGATGTTCCATACGACTTACGGCTGTTCGAAGTAGTAAGATTACGTCTCTTAGAATAGCGTTCATTTCTTCCACAACAAAAGCACAAAAGAAAGGCCCCCCCTACCGACATGCCAAGCTAAGACTCCATTAGGCTAGAGCGATGCGTCGCAGGAGGCAGGGGACGCAAGGTACGACTTTGTTGGGAGAGCCATGCTTTTTTGGGGCATCAAGAATCGGACCCGCCCTGGCTACGGTTGTTGCCACTACCACACAGCACAAACTCGCATGGTCAAATACGCATATACATTCCAAGAGGAGATGCAACTTATTCTTCCAAGGGGCGTGCCTTCCATTTGATACGCCGTATTTCGTACAAGTGAAAAGAAGCACACATAGAGTAAGCAAGTCGTGGTCGTGCTTTCCTATTGAAACTAATACAACATGCACCAGCAGACCAAATGCTGGGCATCCATACCCAATCCCTGGTTATGTATGTTGTAGAGGAGCGTGAGAATTGCAACCAGTCTCAGATCCAGCATTGTCACAGCGCCGAGTCAGCACGAAAAGGAGTTGGGAACCCGACATACGAAGTACACTCGGCTCAGGGGGAACGTAAAGTGCACGTTTTGAAAGATGGGTTTCTTCGGCGCCCAATGGCATTTTGCCGTTTATGGAAAATTGCGTTTTGCTCTTTCCTCGACAATATTCGGAACCCCACCCACCCCTGGCCGGAGTCAGAGAGGGAGATTAGAAGATTAAATCGTGAAAATAGAAACAAAAACATAACCGCACGCGGGATGTGAAATGATTTGGAAATGAACCAAAACACTGCAAGACCTGCGAGACCTCTGGCATAATGTGGCGCTCGCTGTAATACCTTTGTCTCACAGTGCGTTGTTTACCAAAATACTGCGACGTCCGACATACTTGGGGCCTCAGTTGACGGAAACGGTAATAAGTATCCTTTTGCTCTTTCCAAATGCGCCTTCCCTCCGAATGCGCGTAGAGGTTGTGTTCTTTTCGTAATTGGCCGGCAGTACGTTGGCAATGTTTTACCCTTTGCGTCGCTCTTTCCGGGTTGGACGGTTTTTGCGTCGTTCTTTCCATCTTTCGTTCCTTGCTTTGATGTGTATTCGATATCCTCTCCTCTGTTGTTCCCTTCCTCGCTGCCAGCCGGCAGCAAGTGCTACCCACCGCCACCTAGCTTCCCCAACGTTCCAGCTCCGTTCCTGCTTCGTTGGGCCGCCCGGCAGCTTTTCGGTTGGCTGAATCGACGGCTTTTACAATTGGAGAAGGGACAGAGGGCCCAGACCCACAAATACTGGTACTTGACTGATACATGTCGTAATAGCAGCCCTGTTCGAGGTTTTTGCACCGAAATCCGCCGGGAGTCCCCTGAGCTGGATCAGCAACCGTTTTTGGGGGCTCCCAGAATTGCAATTTCCTTCCATCTTTGCCCGCTAAATAGCGCAACCGTCGGTTCCACCAGGCTACGTCCCCACACCTGAACAAGCAGCCTCTAGTGAAATAATGCAAAAGGGGCAGGTCCGCCAGCACCAAGTCCGTCAAGGTAGCTCCCAAGTACCTTTTTTCAGTATCCGCTTCGTTCTGCGCGGCTGTCATTTTTCCCAGCAACCCGCCAGGAAGCTCCAATTCCCTGCAACTCTAACACAGCCTTTGCGTTTTCTTTGGGTCGCTCTTGCTGTTCGTTCTCAAGCCATTGGGTTCCTTCTTCGCGGCGATCATCCGTATTACCCTCTGCCTTCAGCCTCTCTCCTTTCTCTGCTCCTGACTTTTCTTTCCCCCCTGCAACCTCTCGCTCCCTTTCCTGACCCTGTCCCAGCTTTGCCACATCTTTCTATCCAACAAGAACAGAGGCCCCGGTCTTCTTGAGAAGCTCTAACTCGCTCGTTTCTTACTCTCCTCGCCTGGCTTGTATTTCTTTTCCCAACTTCGTTTCTCTCTTTCCTTCCTTCACTCCATCTTCTCTCCATCTCCCGCCTTCACTTCTTCTAATAAACAGTTTGCCTTTGAGCATTGGCCCTTTTCACAATCCTACCTATTCTGCCACCGCCTGTTTTCATTGATACCCCGACAGTTTGAAGCTCACTTTGACCTGACTTGCCAACGTCGAGAATACCGGCTTCGACGTCACGCGCGTCTTGACCACGCGCCGTCTCATAACCAACGGCGGTCTACAGCTTCAGGTTCACCAACCGTACCCGAGCTTCTCGTTGCCTTGCACATGGGCATACATCCTTAGACTCCCGACGCTTTCCTCTCTACCTTCCCACCATGACAGAACTCAATGGCCACAGCGCCAAGCACGGCGTCACCGTTAAGGCGAATGGGGCTGCGGCGCCGACTGCTAATGGCAAAGCCTCATATGCCTCCAAGCACAAGTTGGCCGACCACTTCATCGGCGGCAACAAGCTTGAGAATGCACCAGAATCCAAGGTCAAGGATTTTGTTGCGTCGCACGACGGCCACACCGTCATCACAAATGTGAGTATCCAACCCAATTTCACCCTGGCAGGTTGCCCGATGCCACAGAGTCTCTGGCTCCGGGATGAGCTCCCGCTGACGTTCGCTAGGTCCTGATCGCCAACAACGGCATTGCTGCCGTCAAGGAGATCCGTTCCGTCCGGAAATGGGCGTACGAGACATTCGATGACGAGCGTGCGATCCAGTTTACCGTTATGGCGACCCCCGAAGATCTTCAGGCCAACGCCGACTACATCCGAATGGCCGACCACTACGTCGAGGTTCCCGGTGGCACCAACAACCACAACTACGCAAACGTTGAGCTGATTGTTGATGTCGCCGAGCGGATGAATGTTCACGCTGTGTGGGCTGGCTGGTAAGTGGTATTCACGGGCGACGACGACCGTCTTTACACACAAGTTGCATGCTAACAGATGGTCTTTTTTTTTCCAGGGGCCACGCGTCCGAAAACCCTGCCCTCCCAGAGTCTCTCGCTGCCTCCCCGAAAAAGATTGTTTTCATCGGCCCCCCGGGATCCGCCATGCGTTCGCTCGGTGACAAGATTTCGTCTACAATTGTGGCCCAGCACGCCAACGTGCCCTGCATTCCATGGTCGGGCACCGGTGTTGACACTGTCGAGAAGGATGCAGATGGCATTGTCACGGTGTCTGACGAGGTTTACAAGAAGGGCTGCGTCGAGTCGTGGCAGGAGGGTCTTGAGCGTGCAAAGGAGATTGGCTTCCCCGTCATGATCAAGGCTTCCGAGGGTGGTGGTGGCAAGGGCATCCGCAAAGCCATCAGCGAGGACGGCTTTGAGCAGCTCTACAAGGCCGCTGCCAGCGAAATTCCTGGCTCGCCCATCTTCATCATGAAGCTCGCAGGCAACGCCCGCCATCTGGAGGTCCAGCTCCTTGCTGACCAGTACGGCAACAACATCTCCCTCTTCGGCCGTGACTGCTCCGTCCAGCGCCGCCACCAGAAAATTATTGAGGAGGCACCTGTCACGATCGCCAAGCAGCCCACGTTCCGCGCAATGGAGGAGGCTGCTGTCCGTCTGGGCAAGCTCGTCGGCTATGTCTCGGCTGGTACCGTTGAGTACCTGTACTCGCACGCCGACGACCAGTTCTACTTCCTTGAGCTGAATCCCCGACTCCAGGTCGAGCATCCTACCACCGAGATGGTCAGCGGTGTCAACTTGCCCGCTGCCCAGCTCCAGGTTGCCATGGGCATCCCGCTCCACCGCATTAGCGACATTCGTCTTCTGTACGGCGTCGACCCCAAGACCACTACGGAGATCGATTTCGAGTTCAAGAACGAAGGCAGCGACAAGATGCAGCGCCGCCCGACACCCAAGGGCCACACCACGGCCTGCCGTATCACTTCTGAGGATCCCGGCGAGGGTTTTAAGCCTTCCAACGGCGTGCTGCATGACCTGAACTTCCGGAGTAGCTCCAACGTGTGGGGTTACTTCTCTGTCGGTACTGCTGGTGGTATCCATAGTTTCTCCGACTCCCAGTTCGGTCACATTTTTGCCTACGGCGAGAACCGTTCTGCATCCCGGAAGCACATGGTCGTCGCACTCAAGGAGTTGAGCATTCGCGGTGACTTCCGCACCACTGTCGAGTACCTCATCAAGCTCCTCGAGACCGAGGCATTCGAGGAGAACACCATCACCACTGGCTGGCTAGACGAGCTAATCTCCAACAAGCTGACCGCCGAGCGCCCCGACCCTGTTCTCGCTGTCGTGTGCGGTGCTGCTACTAAGGCCAACCTGGCCAGCGAAGCATGCATTGCGGAATATCGAGCTGGCCTTGAGAAGGGTCAGGTGCCCTCCAAGGACATTCTCAAGACGGTGTTCCCGGTCGACTTCATCTACGAGGGCTTCCGGTACAAGTTTACCGTCACGCGCTCCAGCGCTGACAGCTACACTCTTTTCATCAATGGCTCCAAGTGCTCCGTTGGTGTCCGCACTCTCAGTGATGGTGGTCTGCTGATCCTCGTCAATGGACGCAGTCACAACGTCTATTGGAAGGAGGAGGTCGCTGCCACGCGTCTGTCTGTTGACGGCAAGACTTGTCTGCTCGAGCAGGAGAACGACCCCACGCAGCTGCGGACGCCCAGTCCTGGTAAGCTTGTCAAGTTTACCGTTGAGAGCGGCGCGCACGTCAAAGCTGGCCAAACGTATGCCGAGGTCGAGGTCATGAAGATGTACATGCCCCTTGTCACCCTAGAGGACGGCATTGTGCAGTTCATTAAGCAGCCCGGCTCTACCCTGGAGGCTGGTGACATCCTCGGTATCCTTGCTCTGGACGATCCCAGCCGTGTCAAGCAGGCGCAGCCCTTCCTTGAGAAGCTGCCCGATCTTGGCTCGCCCGTTATTGTCGGTCAGAAGTCGTCGCAGCGTTTCTCCTTGCTGTACAGCACGCTCAAGAACATTCTCCGCGGCTACGACAACCAGACCATCATGGCGCAAACTCTGCACGACATGATCAAGGTCTTGCGCGATCCCGATTTGCCGTTCAGTGAGTGGAATGCTCAGTTCTCGGCTCTTCATGCCCGTATGCCGCAGAAGCTGGATGCCCAGTTCACCCAGATCGTGGAGCGCTCCAAGTCTCGCTCCGAGTTCCCCGCCAAGAACCTGCTCCGCACGTTCCACAAGTTCATTGAGGACCACGTTGCCGCCGAAGACGCTGGCTTGCTCCGTACAACTCTGGCCCCTCTCACCGACGTCCTCAACCTGTACATTGAGGGATCAAAGGTTCGCGAGTTGAACGTAATTCTTGACCTGCTCAACACCTACGCCGACACTGAGCGCCTCTTCTCTGGCCGCCGGTCCCAGGACGAGGAAGTCATTCTTAAGCTGCGTGACGCCAACAAGGACGACATCAACAAGGTTGTGGAGACCGTCCTGTCCCACAGCCGTGTTGGATCCAAGAACAGCCTCGTTCTCGCTCTTCTTGATGAGTACCGTCCCAACAAGCCTGGAGTCGGCAACGTCGCTCGGTACCTCAAGTCGGCTCTCCGGAAGCTGGCTGAGCTTGAGTCGCGTCAGACCTCAAAGGTTTCGCTTAAGGCCCGCGAGATCCTTATCCAGTGCGCTCTGCCCTCTCTGGAGGAGCGTCAGTCCCAGATGGAGCTGATTCTCAAGTCTTCCGTCGTCGACTCTCGCTACGGTGAATCTGGCTGGGAGCACCGCCAACCCAACCTGGATGTCATCAAGGACGTCGTTGACTCCAAGTACACCGTTTTCGATGTCCTGCCCATGTTCTTTGGCCACGAAGACCCGTGGGTTTCCATCGCCGCCCTGGAGGTGTACGTCCGTCGCTCTTACCGTGCGTACGTTCTGAAGCAGATCGAGTACCATAGTGACGAGAGCGACACGCCTCAGTTCATTACCTGGGACTTTGCGCTGCGTAAGATCGGCCAATCCGAGTTCGGCCTGCCCATCCAGTCGGCGGCTCCTTCGTCTCCCGCGACACCGACCGAGTTTGGTTTCAAGCGCATCAGCTCTATCAGCGATATGTCGTACCTGTCTAGGAAGACGGAAGAGGAGCCGACTCGCAAGGGTGTCATCATCCCTTGCCGCTACGTTGACGATGCTGAGGAACTGCTGTCCAAGGCGCTCGACACGCTGCCCGTTGCGTCTAAGCAGCGCCCGCCTCTCCGCCCCACGGGCTCGAGCACTCTCCTCCCTGTGCTCGAAGGTCGTCGCCGCCCGGCGCCGCCTCGCCTTGAGACCGCAGACGAACTGTCGGCCGTCGTTAACGTCGCCATCCGTGACTCTGAGGGCCGCGACGACCAGGAGATCTTGAGCATCATTAAGCCCATTGTCGAGGACGTCAAGGATAACCTTCTGGCCCGCCATGTCCGCCGTATCACCTTCATTTTTGGCCGACAGGATGCTTCCAACCCCGGTTACTACACGTTCCGCGGTCCAGACTACGAGGAAGATGACAGCATTCGCCACAGCGAGCCTGCCTTGGCCTTCCAACTGGAGCTCGCTCGTCTCTCGAAGTTCAAGATTCGCCCTGTGTTCACGGAGAATAAGAACATTCACGTGTACGAGGCCATTGGCAAGGGTGTTGAGACTGACAAGCGCTACTTCACGCGCGCTGTCATCCGCCCTGGTCGCCTTCGGGACGAGATCCCTACTGCCGAGTACCTCAGCTCTGAGGCTGATCGCGTCATCAACGACATCTTTGACGCACTTGAGATCATTGGCAACAACAACTCGGATCTGAACCACATGTTCCTGAACTTCACGCCCGTTTTCCAGCTGCGCCCCGAGGAGGTTGAGCAGTCTCTGCAGGGCTTCTTGGACCGCTTCGGTCCGCGTGGCTGGCGCCTTCGTGTTGCGCAGGTGGAGATTCGCATCATTTGCACCGACCCGGAGACTGGGATGCCGTATCCCCTGCGTGTCCTGATCACGAATACCTCTGGCTATGTTATCCAGGTCGAGATCTACGCGGAGCGGAAGTCTGAGAAGGGCGACTGGGTGTTCCACTCCATCACAGGCACCACTAAGATAGGATCGATGCACCTGCTTCCTGTGTCGACCCCGTACCCGACCAAGAACTGGCTGCAACCTAAGCGCTACAAGGCCCATCTGATGGGTACGCAGTACGTGTACGATTTCCCCGAGGTGTTCCGCCAGGCAGTCCAGAACAGCTGGGTCAAGGCTGTGAAGCAAAACCCCGCGCTGGCCGACAAGCAGCCACCGGTTGGCGAATGTATCGACATGTCCGAGCTTGTTCTTGACGACCACGACAACCTGGCTGAAGTTTCGCGCGACGCGGGCATGAACACCTGCGGCATGGTCGGCTGGCTTATCACAGCCCGCACGCCCGAGTACCCGAGAGGCCGCCAGTTTATCATTGTGGCCAACGACATCACGTACAACATTGGCTCGTTTGGTCCCAAGGAGGACGGTTTCTTCAACAAGTGCACGGAGTATGCTCGCAAGCTGGGCATCCCGCGCATCTACTTGTCTGCCAACTCGGGTGCCCGCCTGGGTCTCGCCAACGAGCTGATGCCGTACTTCAAGGTTGCTTGGAACAACCCCGCCAAGCCAGAGCTGGGCTTCAAGTACCTGTACCTGGACGACGCGGCCAAGAAGCAGTTTAACGACAGCGTCATTACAGAGGAGGTATCAGAGCATGGTGAGAAGCACCACAAGATTGTCACGATTGTCGGTGACGAGGATGGCCTGGGTGTTGAGTGTCTGCGTGGTTCTGGTTTGATTGCTGGTGCCACCAGCCGTGCGTACAATGACATTTTCACCGTCACGCTCGTGACGTGCCGTTCCGTTGGTATTGGTGCCTACCTCGTCCGCCTGGGTCAGCGTGCTGTCCAAGTTGAGGGCCAGCCCATCATCCTGACGGGCGCCCCTGCTCTGAACAACCTCCTCGGTCGCGAGGTATACACGTCCAACCTGCAGCTCGGTGGTACGCAGATCATGTACCGCAACGGTGTTTCGCACATGGTTGCGCGTGACGATATGGAGGGCATCTCGCGCATTGTTGAGTGGATGTCGTTTGTTCCTGACAAGCGCAACAACCCGGTGCCCATCTCGATCTCCACAGACTCGTGGGATCGTGACGTCGTGTACACGCCTCCCCAGAAAGAGGCGTACGACGTGCGCTGGATGATTTCCGGCAAACAGGATGGCGCCGACTTCCAGCCCGGTCTGTTCGACAAGGACTCCTTTGTGGAGACGCTGGGTGGCTGGGCTCGCACGGTGGTCGTTGGTCGTGCTCGCCTCGGCGGCATCCCCATGGGTGTTATCGCGGTCGAGACGCGCGCTGTCGAGAACATCACCCCTGCTGACCCTGCCAACCCCGACTCGATCGAGCAGGTGGCCAACGAGGCTGGTGGTGTGTGGTACCCGAACTCTGCCTTCAAGACGGCGCAGGCGATCAACGACTTCAACTACGGTGAGCAGCTGCCGCTGATGATCCTTGCCAACTGGCGTGGTTTCTCAGGCGGTCAGCGCGACATGTACAACGAAGTCCTCAAGTACGGCAGCTTCATCGTCGACGCCTTAGTCAAGTACGAACAGCCGATCTTCGTGTACATCCCGCCTTTCTGCGAACTTCGTGGCGGTTCATGGGTGGTTGTGGACCCGACCATCAACCCGACGGCGATGGAGATGTATGCGGATCAGGAGGCGCGCGGCGGTGTTCTTGAGCCGGAGGGTATGATCGGCATCAAGTACCGCAAGGACAAGCAGTTGGAGACGATGGCGCGCCTGGATCCCACCTACTCGGATCTGAAGAAGAAGATTGTGGCGGCGCAGAAGGGCGGTGCGTCGAGCGACGAGGTGGAGAAGATCAAGGAGAAGCTGATTGCGCGCGAGCAGCAGCTGCTGCCCATCTACCAGCAACTGGCCATCCAGTTTGCGGATCTGCACGACCGCGCGGGCCGCATGAAGGCCAAGGGCACGATCCGGGAGGTGCTTGAGCTGCGCAACGCGCGCCGGTTCTTCTACTGGCGCGTGCGCCGCCGTCTCAACGAGGAGTACATTCTCCGCAAGATGGCGAGCATGACGGCCTCGACAGGCCCGTCACCGGCGACGGCAACCAGCCGCTCCGGCACGGACTTTGCTGCGCAGACGCGTGCGCGCCACCTGACGCTGCTGGAGGCGTGGTCGGCGGTGCCGGAGTTTAAGAAGGCGGACCGCGAGGTGGCGCAGTGGTACGAGGAGAACAAGAAGGTAGTGCAGGAGAAGCTGGAGTCGCTCAAGGCGGACGCGGTGGCGTCGGAGATCCGCGAGCTGATCCGCAGCAACAAGAAGGACAATGCGGCGTGGAAGGGCGTGCGCGATGTGCTGCGGGTGATGCCCGTGGTGGACAAGGAGAAGCTGCTCAAGTTCCTGTCGGACTGAGCGGGCCGTGTGTTGACTGCGTGCGCGTGTATTGCGTATCGCAGTTTTACTGTTCTTAGAATTTGGTTTCTCAGGCTAGGCGGTGCTTTTTGTTTGTCTTTTTTCTGTCTGTTTCGTCTGATGGTCTGATTTTCGATTCGTATCCTGTTTTCGTACTCTGCATTTCATTTTACTGCATCGTTAGTATTTACCGCAAGCCCAAAAATAGACATGGTATCTTGCTTTTATTTTTTACAGTCATTTTCTGTTGAATTCGCAATGTTGTTGACTTGAGATGAGAGCCAACTGTTGTGAGGATCGTCAAGGAGCAGGGGCATTGCCTGGCAACAGCTGTTTTTCGCGTATAGTGAGGGGAAAATGCAAGCAGGCATATTTAGAGCCTACAGTACTCCATACAGCGTGTGTGCGACATGCTTGGCATCCAAACTGGCCGCGACAAAGTCACAGCCACTTCCACAAGACAATTAATAGCCAAAACAAAGAAAGAAACGGAGAAGAGTACACGAACACAATACAATGGCCCGTGGAGCTAGACAATGGACGCGGGAACTGATGCGACGGCTACAACGTCATGATCCCAACGGTCGCAGTACACTGCCACAAAACAATGACTCGGATCCTGCTCTCCCATACCTTCCTGGCTCGTCTGCGTCGCGCGTGTCGTTGACCGACGGGGCGGCTGAACCAGAAAACGCCACGGCCAGTCCCTTCTTCACACGGTTGCCGCCCGAGATCCGGCACCAGATTCTCGTGGAAGCGTTTGGCGGACGCACGCTGCACATGGACATCCGCGAGAGTCCGCCATTGCTGCCCATATCGGAGCGGTCGCCGAACCCAAGTTCGGTCTCGCCCAACGGCATGCCACACGGCGGTCTCGGTGCGGACCTGGAACGATACGGCATGTGGTCGACGGACGTGATGAAAGCAGCAGCCGAGGCCCGTGTCATTTCACCCGACGGCGGCGGTGCGTCGCCGTGGCAGTGGTGGAGCTGTGTGTGCCATCGCAACTTGCCAAAGGAACACAATGCACCGCCGCAGCCGCTTGGGGAGGACGGCTGCCTTCGGGGGAAGAACACGATGTGTTTCCTCTACGCGGGCCAGACTCCCGGCAAGTGTCTCATTGGCGCCTCTGGATGGCTGAGGACATGTCGTCAGGCGTGAGTTTTTCACATGGTCTTTACGTACAGACCTCACCAGAAACTTGCTGACAGAAGCCCCACGGACATGACAGCTACGCCGAGGGCATCCAGGTGCTGTACGGCTCCAACTCCATCGTCCTCAGCCGCGCAAAGCTCATCGACGCCCTGCTCGCGTCGACCGACCGTCTGCCTTCGTCTCCATCCATTCAGCACGTCGCCGCTGTCGTGCCCACCGCGCACCTTGACCGCATCCTCCGCCTGGAGATCGCCTGGGATTGGTGCCTGTTCGCACGGCCCGTCCACAGCGACGAACAGACGGCCGCCCGTGCCCGCGTGGTGGACCTATTGGAGAGCCTCGCGCACGTCGGCGCGTTTCCGCGCCTCGTGTCGTTGGTCCTCGCATTCGGCGACAGCCTGTACCAGCGGTCCCAGCCGCCGGACCAACACCTTGACGACGTGGACACCGCGCTGCTCATGCCGTTGGGGGACTTGGCCACCCGACGCAACAACCGTCTCCTCCAGCTCACTGTCGAGCTGCCGACCAACACGTTCGAACCTCTGTACAGCCGCGCCGTCCGGACCGGCAGCGTGTATGAAGGAGGCGCGGCCTATGGTCAGCGGCGGTTCTGGTGGCCGCCGCCCACCGTCTCGGGAGAGAGGGGAGATGATGAGACAGACCGTGTCGACATCGGCTGCGGCTTCTGGGTCAAGTCGGGCATTCAAAGCTCACTTTGCTTTGACTACCAAGGGAAGCCATACAGACTCGGTGCAATCGCGACCTGTTTCTAGTCACGTGGCCATATCTACTCAGCTAGACCAGACGTCATCGTGGAAGCTGCTGTGGGACCACTAAATTTCCGCCTTATTACCCAACCAAAAAACGGCTGTCTCGGGTAGGGAATTTTGACACTTAACGATCTGCAAAGGGCTTAAGCGGCCATGACAAACCACAAACCTCAACGCTCAACAAAGCTGAGGACAATTGCGGCATCCTCATTTCGTTTCCATCGTTTCTTTTTCGGCACTTTTTAGACTCTACGACATACTTGTCCACAGTCAATGCAGCGCATGCAATGGCCATATTCAGTGCGGATGTGGTCCACTGGAGCTCTCTGCGCTGAAGCCGACCGCCGACCGCTAAATGACTGCTAACCGAGGACGCTGAGAGCCAGCAGCAACGACACCAGTCACTCGATAGAATCTGCCGTCCTTTGGGATACTCGCCGACATAACCGCAATGGATCCCCCAAAGCAGCCGCCGCAGGCGATCCAGCGTAAGCCGCTGCAGCGCAAGCCCTTGCCGAATCTCCCTCCACAGCACCACGACGAGCGACAGCTTCCTCCGACGCCGACATCAGCTGGCCCTCTTCCTCCTCCGACTGGACCTCCTCCTGCATATGAAGTCTATCCAGGGCAGGGCCTGAGTCTGGCCAGATCTGCCAGCCCGGCCAATGTCGCAGCTCTGACGCCGCGGCTCAACCAGCTTCAGTTGAACGATGCCGCGGCTGGCCCAAACAGCTACGACATCCGAGTGGCGATTTCACGGCAAGGCACCGCATCGACGACAACGGCAAGCACGGCCACGAGCGCCTCCTCTCCGGCCAACCCTCCTCTGCCCCGGCGGCCGGGTGCTGGCCAGTTTGCGCCCGGGATCACGGCCAGTCCTGGTCAATTGACGCCGGCCAGTACCATGAGCACGACGACGACGACCATATCGCCTACTGATGATCATTCTCCCGCTGCCTCATCGACGCCCCAGAAAGAAGGATCCTCCATCTGGAAGACGGCCTTTGACGAGACCCGTTTCTTTGCCGGCGGCCTGCTCGCCAAGCCCTACGAGTCCACCAAACACTACACCGTCGTGCGCCACTCGGCCGGCCTCGTCATGTACCGCGGACCCACCACCAACGTCGTGGTCACCGTCTTCTCGACCCCCGACCACCCCATTGTCCCCGCCCAGCGCACCGTCTGGCTGCAGCGCCGCGGCTACTCGGGCGACACGGGCCTGCGCCTCAAGACCTTGGTCGGTGCCAGCGGCAGCTGGCTCGACGTGACGCCCGAGCGCGCCGCCTTGGCTTCGGCTCTGCCAACCGCCGACGAGCGCGGCTACCAGCGCGACATTGCCAAGATCATGAAGAAGACGAGCGGCAAGCACATGGAAAAGGCCCTGGCCAAGCGCCAGCCGCGGGAGACGCTGGTCGTGCGCATCCCGGCCGCGTGTGCGGACGGCTACTTTCGGCTGGTTGTGTGCTCGGGCGGCCGTAGCGCCGACGCCTCGACCTCATCCTCTTCCTCTACCCCCTCCCCCTCCCCCCCTTCTGACACCGGAAAACGCAAAGTCCTCTGCGGCAGCCCCGTCTTCCGCGTCGCCAGCACGTCCACGGACGCGAGCATCTTCCGGGGCGCCAGCCTGACCACGCTGCCCATGGAGGCCGGCGTCAAGATTGCCTCCATGATCAGCACCAACTACGTGTCCAACGTCGCCGCGCCCATCGTCTCCACCGTCCAGGACAAGGTCAGCAAGTACCAGCCGGGCACCGTCAGCACGCTGGCCGCCCAGACGGCCTACGACAATTCCGCGCTCTCCACCAAAGTCGACGAGGCCGGTCAGGCGTATGGCCAGCGCCGCGAGGCGGCCTACCAAGCGTACGCGTTCGACAAGGACACGCTGCTGCCGCCGGACGGGGAGGGGGACGGGAAGGACGACGACGACGACGCACCACCCCAGGTGATTGGCCCCGACAGCGGGCCCCAACCGCCGTTCCCGCTCGTGTTCCAGGGCCGCGTCGTCCGCGGCACCGGGCGCAGCGCCGCCGAGCGCGGCGTGCCCACTGCCAACCTGGCCGACGTGCCCGACGAGGTGCGCCTGCGTCTGCGCGGCGTCTACTTTGGCTGGGCGGCTGTCGTCCGCGGCAGCAATGGCAGCCATGGCAGCAAGGCGACGGCAGACGACGGCCGCCTGCCGTCCGACTGGATCGAGGCCGTCGTCACTGTGGCGCCCTCGCCCTGGCGCCAGGGTGCCGCCTCTGCCTCTGCTCCTGCCTCCACGACGACGACGTCCCTGTCCGTCGTGGCCAGGAACGACGTCGTCGTCCACCTGCTCTACGACCTGGCCGGCGCGTCGCTCGTCGATGCCAAGGCGCAACTGAAGGTGCTTTTGCTGGGGTTTCTGCGGGCGTCGTCGTTGGTAGGCGACCCCACCGCCGACCCGGACCCCGCCGCCGACGCGGCCCTCGTCGTCAGCAGCCTGAGCCGCGCCGCCTGGGGCGCCGCAGCCACCCTCGACCGCGTGGCGTCCGACCGGAAAGGCCGCAGCCTCTCGGACAAGTACGCCGACACCCGCGGCAAAGTCCAAAAACACGTCGACCGCATCCCGCTGCACTGGGCCGGGGTGCGCACCGAAGCGGGTGAGATGCGGGACCACCTGTACGGGAACGGCGGCTTTTACATTACGAGGTAGCTGGTTTGGTGGGCATGTGGTAGCCCACGCATGCTCGAGGACGGCGGGCCGGCGTGTGTCGCAGAAGAGTGTGGGCGTATAACCTGAACGCTGCAAGGCGCATGTAATGAATATAACGAGCAAGCAATGATAATAACGAGTATGATGATAAAATAGTGCACAAACGAGTACGACAGGCACACGAACTGACAATCGCTTTCGCTTTTCTCTTGTACCTTTCCATCCATGCGAGGCTGGGCACATATGCCACTAGATCCGCCACCACGCGGACATGAGCCTATGGCGTGCACAATTTTGATTTTCTACATCAACGACATCCCGGCGTTGCACTCGTTCCAACAACCAGACGGTCGGTATTCGCATTGCCATGGAATGAAACAAACCACATGCTTGTTCTCTTATTCACAGCGCCCCGCGAACGTGGGATGCTTGCATACTCTACTGGGCATCCCACGCGTAGTTCACGATCCCTGCATTCTGTTCTGCGTTTACTGCTCTGGCTGCGACATATTGTGAGCCTCTCCCACGCTCAACCCCCACGCGCATTCCTTATCGGGGCTTTTCCTCCCACGCCCGCCACGATCGTCAGGTACGACGTAGAACAGGATAGATTGTTGAATTGACAGACGGCGTTTATGTCGTCCGTATCCGTACTGCAATTACGAGGACTGGGATGTTCCCCCAACGTCGCAGCCCTGGATCTAGCGCGCGGTTGTCGCCGTTGATGAAAATGAGACGCAGCCGATGCACGACACGCACGACACGCACAATGCGATGCGATCCAACAATGCGCCGAGTTCGAGTCAGTCACAGTGCCATGCAAGGCGAGTCCCATTCTGGACAGCTGCAACGCACACCCGCCATTCTGTCCAAGATCTAGACAAGGTCTAGACCAAGAAACCTCTACATAAACAAGGTATTGACTTGCATCGTGTCGACAAGGTTACAAGGCTATACAAGACAGCTCGTTAAATGAAACCTGTCCGAAAAGTACTCCGTACCCGACGACCTATACAGAACTATCCGACGGACGTATCAACCCTTCGCAGTGCAGCTGCTTTGCAATGAACGTGATCATAGTACGGCCGAATATTTGCTGTCGACGAGGTCCAGAACGGGACAGGATTCTCCCCCAGACAACAATAGCGCATTGTCCGGAAATTGGCGACATGACATATGTCGACCGACAACAACAGTCCAACTCGGAACCGTTCAAAACAGACAGGGGTGAGACTGAGACAAGGAGATAGGAACACAGGAGGTGAGAAGACCAGGCAATATCAAAAGCAATCGTTCGCGGCTCGCGGAAGTCGGCCGACAAAATTACCCAATCCTGATGTCGCGCAATGGCTTCATTTCTGGATTCGAGGCTATTTGGACGAGTGTTCGTATTTGTGGAGCTTCCACTGTGTCGTCCCTTGTTATCGCTATTCCCCAGTGGTTTACACAGTGAGGTCAGCTTCACCGACAGGTCATAGTGGCGGATTCGCCATTCCTTTATGCACCTCAATGGACAGGACTCCTGACGAAAGAATGGCGCCAGCCAAAACAGCGTCGTAGGTGCCTGCAGGGGGTGTTCTTTGGCAGTCGCAAGAAAACGTGACGGCACGTGCTCTGATGCAATGACCCCGCGCCACATATGGCATGTACTCTCTGTTAGGCAGCGCACTGAAATATGGTCCGTGCACTAACAGAGTGTACATACCTAAGCCTTCGATCCGTCCTCGAATAACGCCATTTCTACCTCAAAGCACCAATACCAAAAAGGCGGTGGCGCTCGACTGACTCTTCTAGTTCGCCCATGTGTCGGTGGACGAAACAAGCCCCCTGTATTCCGTATTGTTCAGCGCCTTGTCAGTCCTCTGCTGCCCTGTAGTGTCCTGCTGCGACACCACCCCAGAACAGTACGACTCTCCTGTGGGCTGGACAGTTCCACTCGTCAAGCCACCCTGGTCTGCGCCTTCTTGCGTGCTTGGGAAGTCGCCGTTCAAACTTTGTGTCGGGCTTTTATCATTGACTATCTCTTGTCTCTCGCAAGCCAAGAGACACAGGGCTCTCGGGTGGGCATCGGGACGGCTGCTATGCTCTATGGCGCCCCGAGAGCCGTGCTTTGTTTTTTTGTAGTTAGTTTCCCAGCCAAAAAAAATCGAAAGGACCACCTTGTTTGTTGGTCATGGGTTTATGAGGACTACGGTCGAGTGACCAGGAGTTGGCAATCTGTTTTGAAGATTCCCACATATCTACTTCGTACTCTGCGGAGCATCTCGAGCTGGTTCCTTCCGCCTCTGCCTCTTGCCTTATTTATGCAGCCTTCCTGCAAACACGGCAA